TCCTGCTTATTGATAAACAGTGGCTGCTGCAATGCAAGGCAGAGGCTCTTGGAATTAAACACATGGTGAGGTTGGCTGGTAGTCCATTGCTATGCTTTGATGAAGTGAAACCATAAGTCTTGTTGGCTGGTTAGTGTGGACTTAGGTTTTTTCTGTGTTTTTGCACTTTCCTGAGTAAGCTTGAACTTCTGGAAGTTATTCCTCTGCATGTTTTCAGAGATGTGTGCAGGAAAGATTGTACCCTTACATGGTATTTTATCACATTCTAGCCCCTTGAAGGCAGGTTTGTTTAAACAATAGACTGGTGCCCATTTATTCATTAGAATTTGAGTAACAAATTGCATTGGATTGCTGGGTTGACACAGACATGGCTAAGGGTATTAGCGCTTATGTGAGATGAAAATCTGTAAAGGCCTATCAGGGGCTTATTTGTGTTGCTGGCTATGCAAAAATGCCATGTATGGACATGTATAATATGGTCAAGTGGCAACCTTAGGTGATGAAAAATGAAGCCAATGCGAATCGCAAAGAAGTTCCTGGAGTGTCAAAAGGCCAAGGAATCCACATTAAGTCGGAATGGTGAAGTGTCCGCTCTTTCCTTTTTCGTAAAACAATTATCGGGGCCTTTTCACATCTGTTTTGATTATATTGAGGCAAAGAGGTTTGCATATATTTGCATAATAAGAGATTAGGTTGAGTCACAGGTGGGCTCGTTGTAGCTGTTTGCAAGGCAGCTTAAGGCCAACCTCAGCTCCACCTCTTCAGTGGTTCCACATTGATTGTAAGTTAGCTGGAGATAGCATGTCCAAAAATAGGGACCCCCCAGATTTGAAACCATCCATTTCTCATTCATAGGCATTGAAAGAAATGGAGCTTCCTTGAGTGCACAATCAGCTAAAGTTTTAAGTAACAAAGGAAATATGTGAAAGCTAATAGCTATTTTAAAAGCAAGTTGAGTATTACTGACTGGTGACATTAGCTCATACCTTTTTGTAATTTTGATCATATAGTCAACAGTGAGGTTAGTCATTGGGTTGAATCCAGCAACGACTGTATGTTCTCTCTCAGAGTGCTTGAGCAAGACTCTGACAGCCACCCCCCTCCCATTCCCATTCATTGGTAGTCAGAAAGAAAATGTAACATGTGGATGACACATGGGTGTCTACAGCATCTTTTTATACCCACACTACCCTGGGGTGTTACAGACAAGCAGAGAGGCAGACACACTCACCAACCACACCGGGTTGTCTGCTGTGGGCAGATGTTGAGGTTGTGTGTCCGACTGAGAGCGCAGACCTAATTAAGACTGAAGAAACACATCATTTTATCTGGCTCTCTCTCTTTTCTGGCCTCGCTTTGATCCAATGATTATTACCAGCTCTTTGGCTCAGCAGAGGAGTGGAGGGCGGGGAAGCATTGTGTCTCATGCTGACAGCTCCCAAACAAAATAACTCCCCTCCCCTGGTTGTTACATCTGACACTCCCAGCTGGGTTGTCAGCGGTGAGGTCAGTAAGAGAATCCAGCTGCCTGTTGAGGCTTGTTCCTCTGCTGTGGATTAGCACCAGCCAACCATCTGCTGGTGTACTGTAGTGCAGTACTGTACACCAGCACTCCCTGTTTGTACAGTACACTTAAATCCACATCCATCTTTGCTTGTACAAATAATGAACACAAGTACACATGCTCATGCTGGAATAATCAATCCTGTCCATGTGGCCTTTTTGGATCTTGGCTCATTTGTTGATGTCTGTGCTGTTGATCCTCTTACCCCCTGCTGAGTGTCCTTTACTTCCCCAGAGAATGGACAGTAATCTCTGTAGGTGACAAGAAGGACAGCCATGATTGATTTTGTCGTGTGACGGTGAAAAGGTCTTTATAGTTACAGCATAGAACAGTTCAGAGGTTTTATGGTGCCCTCAAACAAACTTAAAAAAAAACCTAGATGTCCACCAGTGCACCAGGCATTTAAGATTGTTTTGAAAAGTTCAAAAAAGATCAGTTGAGCTGATCATTGGGGATATTGAGGCTTTGCATCTGTTGGTTGAGTCGAGAAAGGAAATCTGGAGTTCTGAGGTTCTTTACCCTCAGTGGTTCTGAGTGACCTACAACACTTGAGGCTTTCAACAACTTTCACAAGCTAATATTAAAGATGGACGGTAACATAGTGAAAATACTTCTTTAATGTACATAAATAAAGTGTTTCATATATACTTCACTTGAATAATTAAATTTCTAGCACCTTTTTTATTCAAACCCTTCTTTTTACTACTAAAAAGGGCCCATTATTGTAGTTTTGATGCATTTTAATGGAATTATTGACATCAAGATATATTTTAACTGAAATGGATGGGACAGTAGCACATCAGTGCATATCACGCATGACAAATACTGTACACCATACTGTACACCATGTCACAGAGCATCAGTTGGTTGAAACGGGTAAACAGGTACATCGCTGGGTATTGTACCCATCCCTTAGTCAAAAGGCAACATTCCAAACTTTGTTAGCTAGCCAGACAGACATCTAAACTGGTACTGTAAAATACAACCATATACAGGAGGTGTATGGTTATGAGGAAGAAACTACAAACATTTGCAACTCCAGCAATGAACATTGGAAGCCCTTCCTAGGATAAAGGAATTAGCATGAATTTAGTTTTTCCTTGTAACAACTGAGCACCCCATCTGAAAACTTAAACTACAAAAAGTAAGGGCCCCATACTTTTTTATTCACTTAAGTGAGTGGCTCATTCAAAGATATTTGCCAAACAGAACTAACACATTCTCTAGGGGTTGGGGTTCTAGGGGGTGGAAATCTATGTTCTGGGTGTCAAATAATCAACCGTTTTGTGGGCTTCAAAAGACTACAGGCGGCTTTTGGATCCAATGATGGCCCAGAGCCACAGCAAGAATATAAAGCATACAAACATCTGCAGATATTTCTCAAACGAAAGTCTTGTACCATAACTTACTTCTATGCTATGTCCGCCCATATGTTCAATCACAAAACATTACAAGGTAGCATGTCAAGCGTTTTATTGTTGGGGTTAAAGATTTTGAGGGAGACAGCGGAAAATGCATTTCCCTTTGAGGAGAAAATACAGGAAGAGCTTGAAGGTTCCTTCCTGCCCGTGAATAACATTAAAATACCACAAAGGGAAACATATTTGTACATCTCCATGACATGTTAGCTGCTCATTCATCTGTGGAAGTCCAAGACACTTGGTTTGAGGCTGTATAGACCAAAAGTAAGTGGGACCTTGTGTTGTGGGTTTCATGTCAATATACCAGTAGTTCTTGAAATCTTTTTTCCTGTTATGTATCTTCCATTATGTAGAGGGGGTAAGTAACAAAGCACAGATACTGTAACATTGGTAGATTTTTCTGATATAATTTATTGTGGCAACTTTCAACCTTCTACTTTTTAACAAACATACTGTATCTGTACCGCCCACAAAAACAGGCTTTCTTTTTACCTCAGTTTTGAAACATTTGGTGGGAAACAAGAACATTTTCAGTTTAATGCATGGGACAGTAATGCATAGAGAAGAAAATACTTAGTGCATCTTTCAAAGCAAATCAAACACAACAGGCATTTTGAAACAGTCTATTTAGGGCCCGAGCAGCGACCTCGGAGCGAGGACCCTATTGTATCTGTAGGAGTTATTTAAAGATTATGATTTCTCATAACAAAACAGATTATTGAGGAAACTCCACTAAGAGATGAGGTGATAATTGACAGTTATGTTAGCTGTTGTGCATTTCAAAAAGGGGGAACTATGGATGGATGTCAATAACCCAACATGGCAGACAATGTTTAGGCAGGAAGACATTCCCTATCCAAGGGATTTGCCCATTGGAGCAAAGAAAAATTGTATTGGTTTAAGATGGTTTGTTTAATTCAGAGTTTGAATGATTAAAGTTTAGTAGTATCCAGAAATAACACGGGGAAGAAACTTTACTCAGAAAAGCAATGAGCCAAGTCCTATAGGCTACATTTGACTTTTGAACCATGAGTACATTTCAGAGCACATACTTTTTCACATTTAGTTTATCCAAAAAGAAGACATTATTTTCTATTAAATCCCATTAATTAAAGTTAAATCACGTCTTCTTGAGTAGAAGAATGTATACTTCTGCAGCCTCTGTTCATATGATAAATGCTCACCTATAGTTAATGTGGTTAACTTGGATCAGAGCCCATGATATAAACAAATATTTTAAACACAGCATGGCTGTTGTAACACAATGATAAAGAAAATTCTGTTCCCTAGTGTGATAAATTCCATGTTAAAGCTTATTGTTGCCATTTTGCCTTTTAACGTTTCTCCCTTGCAATATTAGATTGTGCTGTCAAAATATGCACAAAGGTCACTATCTTTATAAACAAAAGACATACTTTTACACACCAAGGAGTTATCCCTCCCTCACTTCTTGTTGACTTAAACACCAGGGAGCTGTTGGCCTCTGAATATATGCTGCTGCTTCATCAGTCTTACACAGAGAAAATTCCCTCTGTTTGCCTGCAGCAGAGATTTGCGGTGTTGATTTATTGTGCTTTCAAGACATAAAATGTTCATGGATCATTTGGTAACCTCTGAGAGCCTCTCTATGGTTTTATTGATTTCAGTCTGTAAATAAATTATTTCTCCACTGTTTATCCGTCAACATAATCCCCTCATTCCCATTTTTTCCAGATCATATGTCTATCATGCATTACTTGTAACATGTAAGCTCATTACCGCCACATTGTTTCAAATGGAATGAGTTATTGATTGATAATGTTTTTTTTTTTTTTATGGTGCATGTGGTGTATAACAATGTTTAATAGATAACCTCACAGCAGCATTTCCATTCTCTTCCTCAATGCCAACACCTTTTCTATTCTATTTTTGCTCTTCTCGGGTTAACTTTTCAATCAAATTACAATCATTCCATACACTGGAATTTCAGGATTGAGCACATTAGATATACTGACTTCTTCTGTGTTTCTTTTCAGGGGCCTGTTTGCAAGTAACTATACAGAAACCCATTACCAGGAAGATGGCAATGCAGTCATTGGCTCTCACAACTTCACGGTATGTTGTTAAAAAGCTTCTTTTTCTTCTTAGATATTTTCTTCTGCTGTTCATGAATTGTTGCCCGGTTGGGTCCAGTTCTATTGCGCTCCTATAGCACTCAATTAGAAAGCAAAGAAAAAAAAGGATGTTGCATTTGGAAATCTTTGAACTGTCTGGAATTGGTCAGTCTTGCGCATAAGGAAGCCTGTGTAGGTAAGCTGACACATTTTTGTTCTCTGCTGGATGATTCATATTTAATGAACTAAAAAGCAGACAGAGGTCGGAGAACTGACACATTTTTACAGAACAGCTCGAGTCTTTTATAATGGATAACTTAAAACCATCTTAAAAACTGTTTTTGCTGCGCAGGTCTGCAAGAAAATATTGAGCGAGTGAACATCAAAGTGCACTTCAGAAGTCGCTCTGACAGTGAAATATTCAGCAACTGTCCTTGCATTTATGAGTGGGGTTCTTCAGTCCAAAATGCATCTGTTAAATTACAACTCTTAGAGAATACAGTGTTGGTTTTAAAAATAAGAATTTGCAAATATAGCCTATGTTTTTTTTGTTTGTAAGTCAATAGTTGCATAGCTGATACCTTTTAATTGCATCAGTAATACATATTGATGTTTTGCTGTGGTTTCTCTACAGTTTCTTGTGATTTTCCTCTGTGTCTTGATATTTATAATCTTATTAAGCCTAGGGTTTTTTATTCCAGTGAAACATGTCCTGCTTTCAAATACAATGGTTCTTTTGAAACAGCTTCCATGGTTCCATAAATAGCCCCCTATTGAAGGGTTTTCTTTTAAGGTTTAAAAGCTGCACCCCCATGCACAGCAATGGAAGAGTTTGATACTGCTGGAGTGGAACAGTTTCTCTGCTCAAACCTTCTACCTTCTTGCTTGATTTCCGAGATTTGATCATTTTCAGTTTGGAAAGCAAACATTGCAACATCTTATTTTTGTTTAGATACCCATCAAGCACAATAATAGACAGCATGTGAGGTCCGTGTATAGAAAGACTGGCCTACATATGATGAAACCCACAAAAGATGGGATTAATATAATTCATTACGGCCAACCTACACAGAAAATGCACAAGATTTTCCACTGGAGAATTCTGAGAGAGCAAAGCTGGACCATCACAGTCTGGGCTTGGTCATCTTATTAGAATTTCTGCCATTCCAAAGCGTAAAAGACAAAGAAGTAGTTGTAGTGGATGAGCTCAGGGTGGACTCTGAAACTTTTGAGAGTATCCCAACCTAAATTGCTCAAATTGTGTAGCTGCAATTGCTGTTCAATCCATGAACATTTATATTTTGGATGGATGAATGGATGGATGGATGGATGGATGGCTGGAGACTTGGTGACAGAAATTATCATTTGTCAATGCTCAAACAATCATCACAGTCCAACTTTTAAACACATTTAAACACATGCTAAAGGCACATTAAAGATGGGACTGATAAAACAGCAACTGATAAAAAACTGTTGTCATGCATGCAGTACCTTATCATTAAGAAGTCAAAAGTTTAAGAATTATGTAAGATTCGAATCGCAAATTCCCAAAGCCCAGGGGGATCCTTATTTATTAGTTGTTTTTTTCCTATTCAATTTCCAAAGCTCACAAATGAAGAAAATCCAAAAGTTTGAAAATCTGAGAACCTCAAACCAACCAATTTGTGTATTTTTTGTTCCCATCAAATTACGGCCTTGGATTTTCTTTCCAGCAGCTGTTTATTAACCTGCTTATAAAATATTCAGAAGAATTATGCATGGATTATAAGATTTAATGAATGTATAGCTGGCAGGTTTTACCTGCTTCGTGTCTTACCAGCTTTGGGAACTCACTGACATCTTTCGACCTCTCATTCCTCTGTCATGACCACAGCCAGCTCCTCATAGGAGGGTCTTTTCCTGGAAACGAACAGATCTTTCAAGAATGATCCGAACTAAATTTATTTGTCTTGCTGGCAGGGTGGAGACTGATACATGGATCCAGGAAAGGGATATAGAGTTGAAGTCAAGGTACTGCTGGGAGTGACTTCAGTGTGAGTCAGCCCTCCCTTGGTTGCCTCTGTCTGTTTTGCGTACCCCTCCTTTCACATTAACTTCTACATCAAGACAATAAATGAATGCCATGTGCTGCATGGAAAGCATCTACTGGGAATATGAATCACCAGCATGGATATTAAAGAGTTAACGTGGAATAATAATAAGTGCAGATGTATGATAAACAACGTAATATTCACACCCAGGGTGGGCTCCTACAATAATCTGGGTATTAGTTATTAATCTTCCTTATTCGAGAAATGAAGGCGTAAGCACTTTCCCTTCTCATTTCTCTCTGCAGAAACAAAAAGTCTATTCATATCCTGCATATCGATGCATCACAGTCATGATCTCATCAAAGAAACATGAGGTGGTAGCATTAACTCAGTGCACTAAATCCAGCCCTGCTCCTCCCCATAAGACTCCAATTTCATATTTCATGTAATGGGCTGTCCCTTCTTTGCACCTTTTTGCCTCGCCATAATGGATGGGTCTCTCTCAGTACACATCTAGGTAAAGATATGGAGAGTGGTCATCGACACCAAGGCTTTCTGGGCTTTGGGTCGACTTCTTGGATTTGCGCTGAATAAGAGATTGTGCTTTCAGCGGGTTATGATAGTCAAATATATATTTCAACTCTGTCCTCAAGAAATTATTTTCATATGCTGCATGACTCTTTTGCCATATACATGTTGGAAGAAGATAGTTGCTGCTTGGTTTATGTTCTTGGGAAGAACAAGAAGAATATCTGGCCAACTATATATATTGCAGTTTAGTCATCTTTAAGCATTTCAAAGATATGGCTGCCATTTTGGATATGGTTCCAATTATGGTGAACTTCTTCTTTCTATGCCTTCTAAGTAAACAACATAAAAATGAAACTTTCAGATATTAAATTGGCTAAATAAAGGTGCTATATGTCCAACAAAACTCATACTTTGGTTCTTTGAATATTAACTTGAGGTCTTTCAACTTTTCAAAGAACATTTCTTTTTGCCTTCTCTTTTCAGGGTAGCAATCCAACCTAATTAATCAATCTCATGTTATCAATGTAAAAAGTCTTTAAAACACATGTATAAGCAAAGGTTCAAAACCAATGTTCACATTAGTTTTGGAGTGTCTCTGGCATGTTCAAGAAGTAAGAAAACTACAGTTGGATTAAGTATTTGAATTGCAGAAATACTGTGATTCAAGCTTAAGCAAGGATTCCCTTTTAACACCAGGAACCCATTAAAAAACTGAACATGCATATTCAGCAGCTTCACCACCTTTAATAAGGCCAGACATTGATATTTACTGCCTTAATTCTATATTTAGAGACAGCCAATGAGGGTTGGACAATTCACATTTCCTTGTTTTCCAGAACAGGCAAACAGTGTGGGCCGTTGGTCAGACCTCACCTGAGTGAGGCGGTCTAGCTCTAGCAGAGGGGCTGTTTTCACTCTAAACCAGACACTTCCTCCCCACCCTCTTGCTGCCAGGCCTGGTTCAATAAACATGGGCTTAATTCATTCTTTTTACTCCCTGCTGCAGCTTGACAGGCGGTCCATGACAGTTGGTACCTGGAAATCCAACAGCAAGCAAGGGAAATGGAAAAACTCCGTCGGTCAGACCTCACCTGAGTGAGGCGGTCTAGCTCTAGCAGAGGGGCTGTTTTCACTCTAAACCAGACACTTCCTCCCCACCCTCTTGCTGCCAGGCCTGGTTCAATAAACATGGGCTTAATTCATTCTTTTTACTCCCTGCTGCAGCTTGACAGGCGGTCCATGACAGTTGGTACCTGGAAATCCAACAGCAAGCAAGGGAAATGGAAAAACTCCTCTCATACTTCAGCCATCATTAGGTTGTGGTGATGGGTTTGAACTGCTCCTGCTAACCCTAAAAGACTATCTCCCTAGAGTTAATTCGCTCATTTGTCACAGTTATCATGTGGGACTGCTGTTGTTGAACCGTGATTAAAACCTTTTGACATGTTTTGTTTCATGCTGGTTCCATTCTTCCTGTCTTCAATTTTAAATGCCAAAGTGTTTTTTTCTTTGTTCTCCCTCAGGCAAACTGTTATTACCACGGCGAGGTGGTGGGTCATGTCAACTCAGACGTCAGCCTCAGTACTTGTTCTGGCGTGAAGTAAGTGTGTCAGTCACTCTTTGTTCAAATCTTGACCCTAACAATGGTCCAATCTTTGTAAGATTATGCCAGAAATCAATTAATGCAGTAAACAGCAGAGATGTTGTTAGTCTTTGGTTTTTAGTGAAGCTCAAGCCAAGACAAGCTCATTCAGGTCTAATAAATCCATCCACCTATTATCTGTGCTTCTTGAGGGTCTCTTGGGGTGTAATCCAATCCCAGCTGCCAATGGATGAGAGACCCTTTACACCCTTGACAGGTTGTCAGTCAATCACAAATTAGCAAAATGGAGTTGCCAATTACCCTAATCTTTGGATTGTTGGAGAGAGAACCAAAGCACCCAGAGGAAACGCATGCAGGCACAGTGAAAACACGCAAACTATCCACCAAAACGACACTAACCCGCAAGTTCAGATTCTATTGCTGCCACAGCACTTGAGATAAGCCTTGTTCTCCAGACCAGTCTAAGGACCACTTTCTGAAGGTCTCTCTGCTAGATTGCGACTTGGTCTTAGTCTCAGACAAAGATGAAAAGGGATTTGGCATTGTCCTTTTTTATTACTTTTGTATTACTGTTCGATGCAATAGTTCTGTTCTATTTCAAATGCAATCAAAAGATGGCTTGTGATAAACAATGGCGAGACATACCACACAAAAATGTCAGTATAATGTTACATTACACCAACTTTAGTTAATGTCAGCTTGAAAATAAACCCTACAAGCTGTGTTATTTATTTTTTCTAATAGATTTTCAAGCTAGAAATGTGCCACCATTCTACAAAAACCTTAAGCCAATCCTTAAAATTCACTTCAATTTTTATATCTTTCTAGCGAGACATTTCTCATTCTACACTTGTAAGCATATAGACAGTGTCTTAGCCACTATCTATACAGCAAAGAAAGAGGTGTTTGAGGAGCAATCTTGATTTTCTGTGGGTGTTCTAATGGAAAGATGAATCAATTAGTTTGCATGCTCCACATTTTATTGTAACTTTGTCAGGCAGTGTGAGTCTCCAATGGTCTTATCCTGGTGATGAAACAGTCTTGCCATGCCTTGTTCTTGGTCTTGTCTGAGTCTAAATCCCTCAAAGCCATGATCGTGTCTTGGTCTAATCACAGTCGGGTTTTGTCTTGGTCATGACTTGGTTAAGTATTCATGACTACAATACTGAAGCCTTGCTCATGATCATCATTTAAACAAAGCCTTAGCTTTGCCAAAGTTATTTGGGAAACCTATTGCAAATGTCATTGTTACAAGATTGTAATTCAAAATAATTGATTATTACTGATATCACTAGTGGGCACCAAAACTACCTAAACTGATTCTGTGTTGTAATAAACATAACTTATTCTATATTTGTTGTTAGGACAAAGTCATAAGGTTCAATTGTACAATTATGAAGAATTACATGTCAACAGATGAACTGAACACAATTTTGAAACATTACTGAATGCAGGAAACACGCTGTATGCTGTTGAAAAGCAGTAAACTTGACATAGTGTAAGGGATTCCTAAGTGAGGGATTTCAGTGTTGGAAGCACTATGTTTGCAGATGTCAGACACGAATAATGATTTCACTAATATCATTGGAAACCATCAGGAATGTATGCACAAACCAGCCAAACGTCTACACCCTCTGCATGGTGATTTTCGCCTGATAATGCGACCCTCACTGCCTGACCTTAGTCTAAATATTAATTTATTTGTTCCAGTTTTTCTGCAACCTGTCTGCCCAGTGACAGATTCACAGAGCTATTCTGACAGAGAGCCACATTCTGCACAGCTCAGTGAAACAAATTGATCTTGGTTTGGGTTGGCAAAGTCCCGGATTTTGAGGGCTTTATGAGTTCATGGGATTTTGAATATTGTGCAAGGGTTTATGAGAATCTCTCAGTTTATCCAAACTCACTGCATGAGGATGTCACGTTAAATTATAGATGACACTGTGAAAACATGAGAAAAGTGGAAAAAGAGGAAACAAAGCCCACATCAGTGCAAAAAGGGAGAGATACTATTTCAAATGCATGATATTGACAGATGAATACATCTATTACCAATGATGCATAACCTTTATTGGTTATTTTGGCAAGTCTCACATAAGTCAGGACTACTTGTATTTCAGTCAAATTGGGATTTACATTCCACTATGTACATTTTGTACATATTGTATATTCTTTCAGTGCATTACCAATATGTGAATTTCCACAAAAATAAATAAAAACCAGCCTTTGAGCCATATTTTCATGTACTTCTTCCTCTCCCTGCAGGGGTTTCATATCCCTCGAAGGCAAATCCTATGTACTGGAACCATCTGCTGACCACTTTGATGGGACTCACTGGATCTACACAGCTGAACACCTCAATTTTACTCCTGGCACCTGCGGCCATGATTTCAACATATCCTCTCCTGTTAAAGATGCAGACGGCAGTCCTTTCACAGCTTTCAGGACAAGGGTAAACTGTCTGCATTTGATCTCTATCTTAATTGAGATGTCTGATGCTGTGATGACTTGCAATATTTTTTTCCTTCTCCAGTATTTTTTGGCGTAATATGCTTATGTATAAAGACGAGAGTAGAGGGACGGTAGAAAAAAAGATGTGAATGAGAAGGACAAAGACAATGTTTGGCACCCTCTTTGTTTAGTTATTCTAAAAAAAATAACCCCAACTGTATCATCGCCGGGGTTATCCAGTGTGTACCTCCCCTCTGCAGTGTTCGGTCCAGTTATACCCAGAGTCATCAGAGCTACCCCCTTCCATGCTAGTCTCACCGCACCCACAGAACTTCTGGGTGCTATAGCATCCTTATGTAAAAATGTCAGAAGAAAAATACAGACAGATAAGATAGGAAAAGATGAGGCTTTTGAGAACACCACATTTTCCCTCAATAAAATGACAAGAAATACCTTAGAAATACTGTACACAACTTAAATGACACTCTTTTCTTTCAATGACAAATGAACGTCCATTTCTGGAAACCATCTCGTGGACAATTTCTTCTTTCAGGTCATAAATACAACAGGTATGGAGTCACCTTTTGAACACGATACATATGACCAATTAAAAGGCACAATATAGTGAGTCTGTTTGTGTGTGTCCTCCCTTTGATACAATATGCTAGCAGTCCCATTTATGGGTGAAGATAATGGATGGCTGGATGATTTTCTTTTTTCTTTGAATGGCATTTTATTACAAGATGAAATGATGTGTACCTGCTCCAGGTTGTATAAAGCAGGTTTAATTAATTAGTTGTATTAGTTCAACCTTGGGCGCTCTTTGAAGTTCATGTTTTAAACCGCATAAATGCCTGACTAAATAAGGGTTTGTAACATGCCTCATTGTTTGGCTCAACATTGGACTGGTGAAGAATGTCTTTTTTTCCCAGTTCTTTTTATTTGAACTCACAAAGCACCTTTCATAAATGTCCTCCATTTTGAACTCATTTGGCCCTTCACTTTTCATTTTCCAATCAAATGCATCCAGTAAGTTGGTATTCTTTTATGACAATGTGCTCACAACAAGAATATGAGGCAACGTCATCCAGCTGAAGAAGAACCTGTTTAATTTGAACTGCACATTACTGTCTATAAAAGATGGCTTACTTTAACCCTCTTGAAATAGATCACTGAGATTGTAGATATTGCTGAATGGTTTCGTCTGTTTGCTTTGATTCATGGTGTACATGTGTGATCTGGAGTTAATCGTAAGAGAGGGGTTGATTAATACCTATGGAAAGTGTACTGGCTGTAGCAGCGACATTTGCTCTGAAACCATGATCAGACTGCAGACCCATTCCTTAAGTAGAACATGGCCAGATGTACAGTAAGCATATTTCATTAAAACAACCCTACTTTGACATCCTGAGGGGTAAATCACAAGGTCCATGGTCCAGTTGGGTCTCAATCCTTAGAGAGTATGATGAGGCTTTAAAGATGATGAGGCCTGATATCAGGAGAACACACACTCTAGTGATCTCTATCTGACTGGTAAGGGATGGCAGGAGTGGATGAACTCGCTTGATTTATCATTAAAAATAAAAAGAGAGAGATAGGTGGCGTAAAAGATGAAACAGATGTTCAAGGACCCACAGGGGTGAAAGCGCACGTTTCATAAAAGTAAGGGACTTACCATTTTCTTAAAATGTGTTCTCATTTTTGCAATTGTTTAATCATTTCATTAAGGGAATATTGGGATGCAATTGAGTGTTTTCAGGGAGGAAGGCCAAACATGTGGCTGTCCTGGCTAAAAACCTACAGTCCCTGAGCATTGTTCATTTTTATGTATTCATGAAGTAATGTGTTTTTTTTTTTTTTTTTTCTGATGTTTCAATTTGCTGTTTGATTCCTGTTGATGATTATAACGCTGGCCTCGGTGCAAGTGTTGTCTTAAGTTTTAAGAAGGCTGCAAAAAGATTCAGCACAAGTGAAGAAATCCTGGCTGAGGCACAATGCAAAAGTTCTTATGTGCAAAAAAAAAAAAAAAAAGGGTCAAACATGGTAATCCCACAGGTGATAAGAAGAAATGACAACAGATATTTAAAAAAAAAAGAAGAAAATGGTCACGTGTTACTAGTAGAGCGAGAGTTTTGTTTTTGCTCTGAGCAAAACCAGAAAGTGAGAATTTAAAGTCTAGCAGCACATGTCAGCACTTCAGGGACGCTGAGGTGTGCTGCCGCTGCTTCGATAAGCCGCGATGTGCCCTGCTTGAGGGTCTAAAGATAAAGAGGCGTGTTGGCAGAGAGCCACTAGATGATGATGAGAGTCAGGTGTAGTGGAGAAGGGGAGAGAGATACGATGGCTGGCTGACAGGAGCTAAAAAAACAACATGAGTTCTTGATTGTCACAAGAAATGTGGGTGTGAAACCTGCACACATCATGCAATTGTCATTTTTATATCATCTCGTTTCATAAGTTGGATACTGAATATCAGGGCAGATCATACCTTGTGTGAATCACACCTGGCTGATCATATATGGCGTGAAAAAAAAACTGTCATCCTATACTTAATTGTAGCGTTTTAGTAACAAGGTTTTACATTTGAACTGTTGAAGCAGCCTTCTGGGTGGTGGAAAGAAAATCTAATCACAAAGCTCCTTTATTCACTTTTCATCTTGATCCACACCTGAGCCAGCTCCATTGGTTTAATGAAGACTTTGAGATTGGCTTGAAAGCTCTAGGGCTCTTAAAATGTTCCTCTGCGTTTAAATGGTGTGACGACTCAGGGACGGCGCTGTGTAAAAGATGAACAAAAGGACCAAGAGGGAGAGTATTATGTTCATTGAAATTCAAGATTTAAAATCCTTAATGGTTGTATTAACAGAACATTTCTTTAAACATCACTTCTGAATTTGGACACAGAAAAACTAATATTTTACTTTTTCCATTAGAAGTTTGAGTATAAAACGACATTTCTCGTGTTTTTTTTCTTAAATGTTTGCTGTGAAGTCACAGAAACATTCTCGAGATTATTGATTTTATTCCTGAGTGTCATGAACATAGCGTCACTGTATTATGTTCATTGAAATTCAAGATTTAAAATCCTTAATGGTTGTATTAACAGAACATTTCTTTAAACATCACTTCTGAATTTGGACACAGAAAAACTAATATTTTACTTTTCCATTAGAAGTTTGAGTATAAAACGACATTTCTCGTGTTTTTTTTCTTAAATGTTTGCTGTGAAGTCACAGAAACATTCTCGAGATTATTGATTTTATTCCTGAGTGTCATGAACATAGCGTCACTGTATGTGTCTGTGTCTCCCTGAGGCTTGGTTATCACCATAGGGGGCATTTAGAGCTCACTTGCCCATCCTGGCTTATCTATGGAGAAGGCCGATAAGAGCAGAGGGGATCCAAGCTGCCAGGCTTGCGAGGATAAAGAGGCTCAGGCTGAAAGCCGGCCATAGTGTGTGGAGGCAGAACACTTAGCCAGCAGGATAGTATAGGATGTGAGTGGGTGTGAGTGGAAAGACAGAGATTATTTGAGTGTGTACAGTATGTATGTGTGCAGGTGATGCAGACCGTAGCTCCTTGTGCATGAAAGGAAGTTGCTCCCCCCCACACACACACACACACACACACAGCACAAGAGCAGCATCTGCTTCATAAAGAACGGTCTGCAATTGAAAATAAATACTATTTAGATGTTCATGGTCCCCCATACTTCTAGGGCTGTTGATGTCCAGATTGTGATTCATTTCAAAGTCAGAATCAAAATATGCTTTTCCCATACTAGGAATTTGTCTCTGTCTTTTTGATGAACGAGACATAAATAGATTAGAATAACAATATACAAAAAATGTTAAAAACTGATGGTATTTGGATCAGTGTTGGATCTACTTTATCAATCCCCTCAATAAGAAAATGTAAGCCTTATAAAAAAAATCACTTGGGGGGGCGGTGAAGCTCGGTCAGCAGAGCAAGCGCACCATGCACAGTCCTCGTTGCACTGGTCGCAGGATCGACTCCCGGTCCTGACGCTGTTTGGTGCGTGTCACCCCCCCAAATCTATCTTTCCATATTTCCTGTCACTGTCAAGCTGTCCTGTCAAATAAAGGCAGAAATCCCCCCCAAAAAAAAGAAGTAAAAAAAAAAAAAAAAGATTAATTCTGCTCTGAATCAGCATTTTAGTTAGTCATTTAGCTCAGAGCACTACTTCACCTGCAGCCTTGGAAAATAGCTTGCTTTGCTTCAACTTGTATATTTGTTGATTTCAATTAGATTTTTGAATGTGAAAAACATCATCAAAATTTAATTTCTTACATATTACGAAATAATCCATTGAAGCGGATGGGAAAATCTGGCCATAATTCAGTGCATTGGATTATTCCTACCTGTTCAAACATTAATGTACATCTATTTGAATCCAAGTCACTAAATTTCATGTGTGTACCTGTTAGCTTCTTTTTGTACTCACTAACACCCGCACTGCAGAAGAGTGCTGGTGCAGTCATTTTTTAAGTTTTTATATAATATTGAACATTTCAGAGTCCTTGAACCTTTCAAAGAAAAGCATTATGGGTAAGTGTTTTATACTTTGTGCTGCCTACAGTGCATGGAGCATTGTCCAAAAAACGCTGATTTATGACTTAATAAGCTGGTTCCTGAAGAGTGCAGTTATCAGAGGTCTGTGTGACCTCAGCGGCTCTTATTGGGAAGGAATGTGAAGTGTGGCTGATTGCTTTGTGCTGATTCTAGCTTCTGCAGCCGTTTGTGTAGAGTGTACAGTAGTTCAGGTGAAAAGCCTTATTGAGTGGCGACCCGCTAAGTTTAGTCTGCCCTTTCCGGAAATCTGCAGTTAAGTGTGTCCTCATAATGTCCTTTTTTTTCCTTCTCTCTGCTCTCTCCTCTTCATCATTTCCATTCTTTTTTTCCCGCTCCCATTTCCTCCACTTATTGTCACTCTCCGTCATACCTTTTTCTCTTTCACAACCACCTTCTCCCCCTGTCCACTCCTTTTAACTCACCGTTGTGCAGCACAAACGCCACGTCCAGACTACGACCAAGTACGTGGAGCTGATCATCGTGGCTGACAACAGAGAGGTAAGCAGAGGTCACGCTGTCTCGACCTTCTTAGAAATGAAACATATAGGTCAATGTCAGATGAGTAAATGCTGGATATATAAGGTGGCTGAGGTTATCTCTTTAGCCTAAGCTTCATTGAAGAGCTCTTTGATGATAGCAACCGCAGCAGAAGCTCCACAGGAATTAACATGACAGCTCCAGGATACCCCTGCGGAGACATTTGTAGAGCCAACACAGCATTATCAAGTCCCAAATAATGTCTTTGATGATAATAAACGTTCAAGAGGGATGGATCACCTCTATTTCTCCTTGCTTTATTCTCTCCGCTGGTGTTGTTCAGTTTCAGAAGCAAGGCAAGGACATGGAGAAGGTCAAACAGCGGCTGGCTGAGATCGCCAATTACGTGGACAAGGTAACAATCAAATCAACAGAGACAATGTTGTATAGGAATGTGATTTATTAGAGGTCACATCAAGCTTGGTGAGACTTAACCGCCCTGTGAGCAGAGGCTGATTGGATTATGAATGGAAGATCAATTCCATAACTGGGCAGAGAAATCTTGGGGACAGGGCGATAATAAAATGTGCCGTAGATGGGGGTCTAATAAAACAAAAGCGGAAAAATGATTTATTCACATGAAAAGCCGTGTGTTGATTAATGTTGTGAGATGTCTTCAGGAAATATATTATATAGAACTTGTGTTTTAAAAGGTAATATACAATGAAAAGAAATAAGAGGCCTATAATCTAAAACCACATCTGGGTCCTTCCCCCCCCCTAAACCCTTCAGTTCTACAGGGCTCTGAATATCCGCGTGGCCCTGGTGGGCCTGGAGGTGTGGAGTGATGTGGACAAGTGTCCCGTCACCCAGGACCCCTTCACCACCTTGCACGAGTTCCTCGACTGGAGGAAAGTGAAGCTGCTGCCTCAGAAGCCACATGACAACGCCCAGCTCATCAGGTAGATATGCTGTTGTCATGTAATAGTGCTTCAAAAGACATCACAGTATCTGAAAGGTATTCGTTTGAAAGGAGGGTTTTATATTGTTCCCAACACACAATGACATATGATATTTTGTTGTGGAAAAGCTATTTCCTGTTCTTTTGAGCTAACATTGAAAGGTACCCTGCTGTGAGGGTTTTTCATAAACATGGTTCTACTTAAGCAAAACAAATTAAATTGCATCCTTCATGAAACATTTCGCAAGAGCTTTTTGAATCAGTATTCAAAGCCATTCAAGCTTAATGAAATACCAACAATAAATAAATAAATAAATGCTTACAAAATACATATTATTGTCTAAAAAGGTATTTCATTTCTTTACTTTCTAATGCCCAAATGGTGACAAAATAACGCGAGCTAAAGAGGAAAGTAGTGCTAACAAAGGAAACATCTCTTTAATGCTAACAAATTATTCATACATTTTTCTAAGGGTATGAATTTACGAACAAAGTATTTTGTTTGGGTAGAAATGAAAGTGTGTTGAGCTTTTTATTGTAAGAAATGTGTTCTTTTCTTCTCCTAAAATGTAAACAAGTTTATGATACCAAAATGCTAACACTGCCAGCTAACAAAATGGACATCACTTGAATGCTGACAAAGTCGTAATTATTATGTCTGACAGTATGTATGAAAAACAGAAATGTCTTCACTTTTCATTTAGAACGAAGAGACACGAATTATGAAGAATTTTGTTTGTTTATAGATGCTAGTAGCTCAGTGGCTAACTTAGGAGATGGGTGTTGAGTTTTTAAAATAAAGTTTCTAGCAATTCGATTTTTTTCACGATATATAGGTATAGCAATTATTTGTAGCAGTAATTAAATTTATGATTTTACAAGGGATGGCATGCTGGTCTGTTGGTCATCTCAGTTAATAGTGACTAGTGATCTTTGCATGATCTTGTTCGTGATCGTGATGTTAACTCTTTGTCATGCATTTAAAATAAACAGACGGTCATTTGAGAGCTTGGTCAGTTATTTGGGAAATGTGTCCAGCCCGTGTAACAGACATGAAAATGATAACTTTACAGTAGCATTAAGTACAAATTTGCACAAAAGCCCTCTGCAGTCAATATTGGTCAGAAACTTTCTTTGGGATATTTACATTGACAGTTGAAGTATTTTATGTTGATATTGTGATGACCTCTCTCCCCCCCCTCCTCCCCATTAGTGGGGTCTATTTCCAGGGCACCACTATTGGTATGGCACCTATCATGAGTATGTGCACAGCCGAGCAGTCAGGAGGAATTGTGATGGTAAGTGAACTTTAAAAAAAAATACCTTTTTTTCTACCCTCAAGCAATGGAGCACAAAATGAACATTTGGTGTGCCTTTGGATTCCAGAAAGGACACCAGACTTATTCTATCATTTTCGTCTTCCTGCCCCCCACTCTTTGCTTTGGTCCCCATCCCCCTCCTGTCTGACATAATACTCTCATATTTCTCCCCTGGGTCTTTCCTGTAAGGGCTGAGCTAAGGATTCCAGAGCTGATATTAACTTCCAAGTCACACACATCATTGAGTCTTTTTCCAGGAAAGCCTAGGGCATGCATGGTACCCTTCGTTTAATGCAGGTATATCATAATGTGTATTAAATACAAGAGTGGAAACCTTTACTTCTTAATGAGGTGTGACAGACGAGTGAATCTAAGGTTTTAACCACATATCACAGCACGGCCTGAACCAATGTGTATGTCGTAAGTGATCACCCATTACAGAACCGAAGAGTCATGTTGAATTAGCATATTCTTGTTATTATTATATACTTTGTGTCTCTGAGTAGCTGTTCGTCTTGTGGCCAGGCTGGCTGGAGAGGTTTACAGCTAGTCCCCAGATGGTTCTTCACTCTTGTCCAACCAGATGGTAATGTGGGGCCTCTGTCATTATGATAGAACTCTACATACACGCATACATCAGGTCAGAGACATAAAAGATTAGTCTCAAAACCGCAGACTACTTCTGCAGGGCAAATCATGACCCTGTTGTCTCAGTTGTCTGCCTTCGTTTACAGAGTACCCTTTGAACTCATTAGACAACTTCCCCTATGGGGTTCATTGTTATTTTTCTAGTCAGTTAAATCCTAAACATCCATTCTCAAACCATCTGGGATCTCCATTTACCAGCCCTGAATGCTACATTTATTTTATTAGAGTGGCTGAACAGAACACAGACAGTGGCATGAATCGCCCTCTGGAGTGTTTTTTTAGACTCATCAGTTGGAGAAGGTGTCTGAGTGTTTACAGGAAAACAGAATCAGAGGGTGTATTTCAGCATGAATCCACCCTGCACAGTTAGACCGTGGCATGCGTGAACAGCTGATGACCATTACTTTCAGAAAGCCTCCCGCAGAGCAGTTCATCTGTGTGAGCTGGACTTGTGTAGCGCTCCTGAATAATGCACAGTGACGGAAGACTCTCGAGGCAAGAAGCTCTGACGCACAGCTGTGAAGCCGTGAAGAGATGATAGATGCTGCTTTTGCAGTTACATTATTTATTTGGCCTCCTCATGTGTTCATGTTTTACACTATTTGCAGGGAATCACAGCACCTTAGCTCAGCCAACAGCAGCATTTACTCTGTGTCACTGTATTTGCTTCTTCACAGTGCATCCTCTGTGATGTTTGAATTTCCATCACAACAAACAACTGGCTGTGTGTTTTTCAAGCTGTTCAATGAGAGCTTTTCTCTGTCTTTTAACTTATTTACTAGTTTTTCTCACTGTATGTTCATGTCTTACTTTGTGCAGATGAGGCAGCACATCTGGCTCTGTGAAAATGTTACAGTACAGGCTGGAGGTGTCAGCCTGGAGAACTTTTATTTCTTACTTTAGTGCCACAACTCAAGCAGATGAAAACTCTGATAAGATCTGAACAGCATCGTTTGTTTATTCTTGGTATTAGCAATTAAGCTCAGTTCTTTTGAGTTATGTTTCTCCAGTGGGTCCTGTGGGGAACAACATTTTGGCTTGCATTAAGTTTATTGTCATTTTCTTGGAGAAAGTAATCGGAAAGTCTGTTTTTAATTATCTTTTGTTTGCAGAACCGTAAACTGAGCAGATTTTATTATGGTATGGTTCATGTAGCGTCATGTCTAGCCTAGAAATAAACTTGAGTAATCAGACTCGTAGGGTTAAGAGCTTTTTGATCAAATATTCTTGTAATGAAATGGCAATTCACTTTCTGCATGATTGATCATTTTTTTGAAGGACCATTCGGACAACCCCCTGGGTGCTGCAGTCACACTTGCCCATGAGCTCGGACACAACTTTGGAATGAACCATGACACGCCAGAGAGGGGATGTGGTTGCAGAGTCACAGTGGATCGTGGAGGCTGCATTATGACTCCCTCCACGGGGTGAGTCACATTTTCTATCTTGACAATTAAAAGTCAATAGATCTTTAAACTGGCTGACTCTTCACTGCAATATGAAGGATTCTGGGAGTTTTATTACAGCTATTTTCCCTTTTTCCCCCTCAAGACGTACACTTTCATGCACTGCTTCAGTGCACTCCAGGGTCGCTTTTGTTTCGGCTTCATAAAAACAATTTGAAATGCATCATCTTAATGTCAGATTGTCAGTAATTACAATAATTTATTAACCTATTAGAAAACAGCCAGTGTTTCTGCAGAGATCCCAGATAGTGATCATATGTAAACATTCATACACATGCTCTCTATTTGTAATTAGTTTTCTGACAAGCGGTGAGAAAATAAAGCTGTTGAAATGTTGAGCCGTTGGGTTAAAGGCAGATTCAACAGCTGTAGTAATGCTCTGGGGCAACATGACTCATTCTGAATGGGAATCAGTGCTGGTGCATGCCCAAAACATTACATTAGATATATTTCCTAAAACAATCTATAATAGACATTTCTTTAAAGTGCTGAAACCGTCTAATGCACCTGTGATTCACAAAAGATATGTTGCCAGAGCTTGTGAGTGAGCCATAGTAATTTCTTGTGCAAACGACAAATAAGTCGACTTCAATGTGTTGTCTTTAAAAAGATATCAATAGAGGTGTAGTTTGTAAATAGTTACTTACTATGGGTTGTAATGTCCAACGTCTTGTAGTAGACTGAACAGAGGGATGAAATCTTCTGGGCGGAAACACTCAGAACCGGTTCAAACCCAAGGTTTAGTGGTCTGTGGGAGCCTCAGATTAGTGTTTATGCTGGAAACATCCCTTTGTATTTGGTTTGGACCAGATCCATGAAAAACTGGGGAACACTATTCTCGATTATAGACACATAAAACAGCACAGAAGACAGTTTATAAATAACCCTGACTGAGGCTAACCCTGGACAAGGACAGTGTCCTAAAATTGGCAACAAGATAAACCCATAAAAAGGTAAGGATAGTAAAGCTTTCGTCTTTTAACTTCCCTGTCAGTTCATGTCGCTCTCTTTTCTTTCTTATTCACAGAAAGTTAGAGTGATTCTATTCTTTGACACATATGCAACTTTAATGTTGGAAAATCTCTCTGCTGGTTGAATAAATAGTTAAATACCTTTGAAAACTGTCTATTATACAGAGTTTATGTATGGAACACTCATCCACTCTTTGTTGAAGATCTAAATCTGAAGTAGTTCAAAGCAGTGTAGCATTGTGGCAGTGTAGTTTGAAGCAAACAGTGAGAAATAAAACAAAGGCATGAATGTTTTGCTTTTTTGGGACAGTGTTTTTTTTTTATTCCAGCTGTCAAAAGAAAGCCCTTAGTATCAAAATTATAATTTCTACACCTCTTAAATGCCCCAGGTTGCTGTTCTGCTATTTAATCCAGGATTAAGGAAGCAACTCATTTGAATAAGGATGTTTAGGAACCATGTATCCCCTCATTCTACTTCCTTGGTTAATTCCAGGTCAGCACCAAACACTGTGCCTGAGGCGGTACAACATCTCCCATGGGTCTAGCTCAAACCCCACGCAGTTCCACGCTTTCAAATGCCATGTGGCCACACAAATGAGCTCTGTTGCAATCACCTGAATGTTGTTCATCACCCAGCAGCTACAGTTATTTGTTTACAGCATTCATTGCCATGTTTTTCTAGGCAACCCACCAGCTCTTTTCAAAGCACAATGTGATTATACAGAATGCCTCTTCACAAGGCCGGGACTTGGATGAGTACAAAAGCCCCAATGATTACCAGTCCCTGCATTCAGTAATTGAAAGTACTTGCTAAACTCGCCTGCACTTAGTCAATGAGGAGTCTCTTGTGTTACTTTTTCTGCTGTTTTTATTGATCTTTCATGTTGCTTAAAAAGAGCACAGAAAAGCATTCAATCTCATTTGTTCAGACATAGACCCATCAACCTCTCGTGGCCTTGCTCTGGCTCCAGGAATTGAACAGAAAAGATAATAAGATCCAGTTCATCATTATTATACTGGATTTCAGAGGGTTATGGGGTGGTGTTGGGGGCAGTAAAACTACTCGCTGTCCCACTGCCAGCTGCACATCTGCAATGAGCATTGCTTGTTTCCTGTTCACATTGGTCACGGCCAATTGTCGCATCCCCCTCTCCATCCATCTCTCCATCCCTCCATTAGCTTTTAATGAGAACAGGCTGGTGTCTCTCATCCTTGGAGATATTTGAGTCTTAAAACACTCACTGAGGAACACACACACATAAGAACTGAGCTGCTGCTTAGAACGCATATACCAGGATGATACAAAGTTGCACAAAAAAATAAAAGAGATCAGCCTCCCAGGGACCAAAACAGGAACTCCACATGGTTCTATACTTGGTCCCCTTCTCCTCAGTTTTAATGGGCCCCTTCTTGGTTTGTTGGTCTTCTTTAAGATGTGTTAACTATTGTGCTTTTGCCAAGTCTATTGCTTTGTTCTTTAAACGACAAATGTAACTTTTTACCACCATTGCTAGGAGACAAAATTGGTGCCTGTTTAGTGGCATTCAGGGGGACAACAACAAAAATATAGAGCTGGGACATAGGAGCATGACAAAAGAGAGTCAGGCCACCAGTTATAAAAATGTTAATTAAAAACACTTCTGAGATGTATAGCCCAGAGATTTAATTTCAAACAGCTGTGCAAAAGACTTTTAATGATTTAAGGGATTGTGCTTGATGGCTTGATGGTTGTATGCAGATGATACAATTATAATCTAATCTAACTAAATATTCGGTCAGCACAAAATTGATGCAGCTTTTTGACAGCATGTTGAGAGAATTTAATTTGTGATCAGAATTTCTTAAATCTAATAAACAGTTATAGATCGGTTGTGAATTCCATGATAGTAATATGTAAATCATACTTTCATATTTTCCTTCAAAGACACTCGCACAAGCTGAGATGGACAGCAAGACTCCAGGGTGCATTATTAAGACATGGTTCAGTCACTCATTGGTAAGGCCCTAAGTAAAATGATGAGTGCAGTGCGTGATTCAGACAGAGATTTGATATATTTCCCTTGTCATAAAATAATCAGGAATCACAGAAAGCGAGTCACAGTCAAAGGCATGCAATGGAAATGTGACCCGTGCCCCACTGAAGAACAGGAACTCTCAAATATGCCTTGTTTAATTGGGTCCATAGGGAAATCAAAGTGAAAATGCTCTTCAGTATCCACAACTTTAGGCCAGACTGACTGGCACCAAAGGCCACAGCAGATCATATCACCTAATGTCATCGCCCTGAGCTCAAGCTGTACATGAACAAAGGAAGCCGTAAAATGAATATTAAATGTGTAGTGAATCACTATGGTTTTGAATTACTTAGGCAAGTATGAAATATTTGTCAAAGCTAAAGCTGTCACAGTCAGGTTTGAATCAGCTTTTGTTCATTTGTGTGCCAGATAATCAAGGTCTTCAAGAATGTTATAAAACTATTATAACTGACTGAGGTTACAGACACTGTCAGTATTTGTGCATATATAGTTTTTTCTCTTAAAATGGTTCCAGGGATTGGGTTAAATGTTTTTAGCAAAAGCATCACTAATAGTCCAGCAATCTGCATCATTGCTTGATCTGTGTTTTATGGCTGAAAAGTTGTGACAAACTATCTGTGTAGGATGTTCTCTGTGGTTTGTGTGATCTGAACCACAAGGACAAAGTGGCAAGGAGGAGAGAGCCCTGCCAGCTAAATTTGGGTTAAATGGCTCACTTGATTTTAATGTGATACTTTGCCTTAAGAGTATTCTAATCGCTGGTGAAAATGAGTTTTGATTCATGGATTATACTCTGCAGCGAAATTCTGTATAAACATGACCTTCACAGGTTGGGAATGTAACATTTTAACAAGAAATGTGTGAAGTGGCTGCAGTGCTCTGACTGGACTGAATTTCGTAGCATTCTTTTGATCTACAAAAATGTCTTGCTGTATTTATGCCTTCCTTTTAACTTCTTGATCCCATAAAGATCTTTTGGGGGAGATGCTTGCGACAAAAAAATATTGTATCATCAAGTTGTAAATGACGATTTTCAATACCCCAATTTGCTGCAGACCTCTGGAAAAAAGATATCCTGTTTTACATGAATTCTTATGATTCTTCAAATCTTTAAATTTGATTGACAAGTTTGATTAGAAAAAACAGCAGGTAAAGTGAAAGTAGGAACTGAAAAAAGACAACAGTGAATAGAAATATATTCAGATTTTCCATTCAATCTGTGTTAAAAGTCTTTACTTAACACTTCTTCTCTACCTCTCCACATAAAATGTGGGTCACGTTTCATCTCTCCCCACGTCGAGCAGCAGGGCTGATAGACACTGAACAGCCTTGAGCTCTGGCGGTACAGTCACAGTGTGGGGTAGATAATAGGGGCCTGTAATAGATATGGGAGTGATTCGTTATCACCAGACCTCCCACAGCTCCATTAAAGCCTTGTTTTGCCATGGCTGCAATTTAGTACCACTGATTGCTTTGTACACTCTTATCTATCAACCATCTACTGAAGCACCTCTGAAGAGCCAGCTGTCTTACCCTGACTGCGGGTAAGAGATTGAGACGAAAAAAAAAGAACGCAGAACTGATCTGGAACTGGAGCACAACCAGGCAGACAACAATGCAGAAAAAAAAGTGAACAGTTTAAAGGCCAGGGAGAGATGAACCTCATTCTTTGGAAACACAGAACCAGATGAGGAGAAGGTCACAGAGTCATTCTGGGTTTCTTCTTTTGAGGTGGTGGCCCAGACTCCCACGGGTAGAGTGGTTGTCTAATGTATCTGTAGTCCGCCATGAGCCCCAGATGTGCCCACTGTGACTGGCCCTGGCTGTTTAGTCGCCTTAGGGAGTGCAGCTGCTAAATGCCATCCACTGTAACTCATGGATGCCTCTGCCTTTAACAGCCATTATTCCTCCTCCCAACCCCAGACCGTTGCAGGGTAGACCAATTATTTCTGTATTGCCTCTCATAAAGAACAGCTGGATCCCGAGCCACACATGTTTCCTTAAGTCCCCCCCCCCCTGAAAAAGCAGGGATGTGAGTGTTTGTCATGGATTGTATTGGCTGGTAACTGAAGATCAGGGCTGAGTTCATGGAAATTGAATAAATGCAGCAACTTGAGCAAGCAATTTTGGCTCTGGCTTTGGGGGCAAAGAGGAAATCAACAACAGCAGTTGCTAAGGAAGTGGTCCGCCTGTTGAACAGCAGCCTTGACAGCTGTTCATCATAGCAAGATGTCAAGGGGTGCTGAAAGAGGAGGAGGGGGAACAGGGCGCAATAATGGCTGTTATTACAGCTTTTCCTTATTGCTATTTCCTTTTGCCATTTCATGTCATTACAAATCCATTCTGATCTTTTGCTTTAATCCAGATTGGCTAGAGATCTGCTTTGCGGTACCCCACTCTCACCTAAATCGACCTTACAAAGTATTGATGTAGGAGAGCAGTGGGGTATGTGTTTCAGGGGAGGGGGTCAGCAGCAGGAGCTGATGTAAGCCGCCTTCGCACAGGATGGGAAATCAGAGGCAAGCCGTGAATGAGGTCATGTCAAAACATTCACAGAGTGCCATGACATGTTTAGAGCCGTTATAGATGTGGAACCCAATCAGAGGAAAACACACTTTGAAAGGGTTGTCGACATTGAGCTATATTGAAATGCATCCAAACTCTGCGGAGAAAGAGTTTTTTTTATTTTTTTTTATAGCTTCTATACTAATTCAGCCAATGGAGCTTAGTTCAAGGCTCTGCTGAAAAAACAACAACAACAAGGCCATTGCATTTAATCTCATTTATCAGTCATAGAAACACCTCAATGAACTGCCAATAACCGGCTGCAAAGGATGCTTATATATCACTGAATGAGACCACATTTGCTCCGGTTGAGTATGAATTCTATGCAAGAACTTCCCTCGACACATGCTTATTGTAAGTATAACCAATTGTCGTGAAACCTCGACATGTTACTGCCCTTCAGAACTGTCATTCTCTAGAAAACAATCGGCTCAAAAGATAACCCGCCAATTTCCCTTTCTGACGTTCAAGAAAATACATCCTTAACTGAATATATGGTATGTGTTTGGTTTACTCTGCAGGATGTTTGCCTATCTGGACTGTATTTGCTGCTCTGAATCGTTAATGACTCAGAAATTGTCCCTTTTATATAAAAAACAAAAAAATCAAAAATCACTAAAGTTACTGCCGAACAAAGGTTTATGAGCAGACTGTGTCCACAGGTCTTCTCTGGCCAGCTGTTGGGTGGGTTGTGCTTGTTGAAAGATACATTTGAGGATCCAAGCTGACCTCATGTTGTCTCATGCCTGGACTCATCTGCGTGGACGAAGAGCAAGGCCAGATTGAAGTGGGAATATTACGTACAGTCTCAGCCGCCCTAGCCTTGTTAGGCTGAATTTTATGGTGTGGGTGGAGGTATTAAAAAATCTCATATGGTGCTTTATTATCACGAGCCACATTGAGAACACAAGATAAAATCTGCACATACTCATGCACACTTCACACAGACACACACGCACTGTCATCGAAGGCACTATATTATCACAGAAAAAGCTCAATAAAGCCACATGAGGTCTGTAACAAAGCTCTTGGCAGACAGAGCCCGGAGCGGTATGTTTTCCCCACAGAGCAGACCACCCCCTCTGTCCGCTCCAAAAACAATATTAAAAACACACCATCCCTTCTTTCTCCCAAATTTATGGGTGTTGAAATTCTTGCGAAGGAAGCACTTTTTGGTTTCAGCTTTTATGAACCCTTGTCTCACAAAAAAAAAGCGTCATATCAGATCGTTCTCTTCTCTCTGGGGAGCAAAGACGTCAGCACTGTTTGCATGCTGATGGAGCTCTGGAGAGTTTCCTTGGCTCTGGTGGTAAATTGATTTTGTGATTAGCAGCAATTAGCACTGATTAAATCAGACCAGAGAGGACTCCTTCAGGAGAGGGGGGGGTGTCTGTTGTCCTCTTTCTCTTTGTGTCACTCAGAAATATGTCTTCTGCCTCACAGGTATCCTTTCCCCACGGTGTTCAGCAGCTGCAGCAAAAAAGACCTGACAGCCAGTTTTGAAAAAGGCGTCGGGATGTGTCTGTTCAACATGCCCGAGGTCAAGGTGCTCTACGGCGGGCAGAAATGTGGCAACGGCTACGTGGAGGAGGGAGAGGAGTGCGACTGTGGAGAACTTGAGGTAAATGCGCTATAAATCTTGTCAAAGAAAATGTTTTTTTGTATCACAAAATTCTTAATTTAAGGCCTTTCTGCCAAAAGAAATAAATCTGTTCCATTTCTCCCTCCCATGAATCATTGTTAATTATGTTTCCCATGTTTGAGAAATGAAATAAGCAGAAGCGCTAGTTGGGGGAGGGCGGGCGGGGGGGGGGTTATGTAGCATCCCTGACAGAAGCATGGCACGCAGCAACATTTCGTAAAGCAAAAACAAACAGTTCTACTCTGTTTCAAAGCCAGCGACGCAGAGCTCTCGTAATGCAAACACTGGCTCCAGAAAATGAGCTTGGAGACGCGAGTGTGGATTTATTCTTTCTGTGCGCTGAGGAGGGGTTTGGGAGGAGATTTTGTCTTATGGTGATACAATTGTCTGAGAGGAAGTGTCACCGACAGTTTCACCCTGTCATCTGTTGAATTATTGAAAAGATTCTGCATTGGCGTTCACATATGATGATAGCACACTGCGCTAACTGCTGCGACTGAAGGAAGATAAAACAGTCAATCGTGATGCAACTGACAATCAGCCAGAGGCAGGCTGACAGTTACATGAAATATAAAGGAGACTGCTCTTGTGATTTGGACGAATATTTCACATAGTATAATCAAGTACGTTAGAGAATGCCTTGTTTTCCTTCATGATTAGTTTACACCTTCATGCTCAGCAAGTGTTCGGGCTCCATTCAGGGTCGGGCTGAAAGTGGCCTTGTCCTAAGAAACAAAGAACCAGCATAAGCCCCGCTGGTCCGAGCCAGCAGCCATGATAAAGCTCTCCACAGAGTCATGCGACCTCATGCCAACCCAGGCCAGATCAGAGTGCTTCTCTCCTCCACCATTAAAAAGCCTCATTAAAAAGCCTGGGTCCCATTCCTCACAATCACAGGCTACTTCTTTTCAGCGCGTCTCCTCCGCCTCTCCTTTGACCCAGGGGACTATGGGAAAGGCCCCTTAATGGTTTTCAGGCCCGAGAGAAGGTGTGGACGGCCCGTCATGTCAGCTGTATCCCCTGCCAGCTCCATCCATCTACTTCTTCTAAGCTCTCACTTGCATTTGGCTGTACAGTCTATTCAGAGCCTATTCAGAGCCTTTGCCCGACCTAATTTACAGGAAGGAGAGGGAGCTGACCCTCAGGGGGGGTCCGGTCAGTCATAGCTCTGTGTGAGATCATATATGCAGGAGCATACCTTCTGTTGTTCCTGCTGGGCCTTGGTTGACTCTATATGAGAAGGCAGAAAGTTGTCGATTGGTGCGAAATGTTACAAGGGTGGTAAGTCAGGGACTGTGTGTCTCTGCCAAAATGGCTTTTTTTGAGTGCGGTCAGGATTTCTGTGCAATATTTCAACGTTAGCCACACCCAAAAGTAATGTCACAGTGTGTAAGAGTTCTCCGCAACTGGTGAGGTGTGGTGTTGAACCACTAGTGGGCGCCAAAGATATGATTTACAATTTGATCATTTTCCAAGTTAAAGTAGGAGGTCACTTTGGGCTGTAGCCCTTTTCACTTGTGAAAATATCTTATAGATTCCAGGACAGCCTCCTACTGAAATCTTCTCTAATTGCTTTCTCAAACACGTCCCTCCCATGAAGAGATTTACCCAATCAGACGGAAGGGGGGGGGGGGCAAGACATGACGTGAAAAGGATGCTGCAGAAGTCACTGTTATGTTTAAAACATATCCAAGATTGCAAACGGGGCAACAGAGTCACACGCTTTGAGGACAGTTTTTGACTTTATATCAGTTCGATGTGTAATTGGACCTATTCACGGTATAATCTTAAAGAGCTGAAAAGAAAATGCTGGCAAGCAGAAAAGAGTATAAAGCAGCAGAAGATCAAACCTGTCATGCACTAGTTGCAGGATTAACATCGATCACCCCAATTTCTTGCAGAAAAATGTAACTATGGAAATGACTGGATAAAAGTCCGGATGACGTCAGGTGTAAAATTCAGCTAACCCTAAAAATATGAGAACATGTTCCAGAGTTTTGTTTATGTGGGAGGCAATCTGGGAAACTTTTTATGGTCCTGTTTTAGAATTCAATTTCCCATGATGAGCTAAATAAAAACAGCCTTTTACTTCATTTCTGGTGTTTGATTGTGTACAACTAGTCTTTTTTTTTTTTTTTACTCCTAAGAAGGTCAGATAGACTTTTAGTTAAAATAAGTTGTATGCTGTTTATTCTGTTACATTTGGTATTATTTTTTTTGCTTCTTGAAACATTTTTATTTCTGCAGTGTGTTCATCCTCTGCTCATTTTTCTATATCATTCTCTATTAAGCTCATTTCAAAGTTCCAGGTGCCTCACTGTACTTGTTAAAAGCTGTCAGATGGAAACTTTTGTTGTTTTCAGAGAAATAAAAACTGCTGTTTCCTTTCCTCTGTCGGGTTTCTTTAGCTGCTACAAACACAGCCCTGCTAAGGCTGCATCCTTTCTGATAGCTAAGCCTGAGCTTTTGCTCTGAGGTGAAACAGGATCTCTTTTTGCTGAGTTAATGCTCTTTTACCTTTGTTCCCCCCTCACTTACAATCCATTTCTCTCTTCTTTTTGTTCCTTTACTCTATATCCAAAGGAATGTATGAATCCCTGCTGCAATGCTACCACCTGCACTCTGAAGGGAGATGCTGTTTGTGCACACGGACAATGCTGCCAGGACTGCCAGGTAGAACATGTGATGCCGATTAGCTAGCTACACCAGATTTAAAAAAAAAAAAAAAAAAGTCCTTTGGCCTTCTTCTAAAGGGGAACTAATGTTCATACAGCAAATTGTTTTAGATCCAAAGACCTATAGAAATGAGTCAACTGAAGGTTATGACATGTAAAGGGTAAAAGACATGTTCAGCATCTCAAAAAAGTTCTTGTACTTTCAGAAAGAACTGGCTCTCTGCCTGGTACTTCTTTGGAACTACTAGAGTCCCTTTGGGAAAGTTATTTAAATGGAAACTAAGGATGGGCGAATAATTATTCATTTTTGAAGAAATCAGAAAAACAATCAATGCAATTATAATCTCATGTTATTATTTTATTATCGGTGTTGTAATACTACCCCCAGAAAGTTCCTGTAACACATCTGAAAGCGGTCTGCTAACCACCTTCAAAACAGAAGAATAGAAAAGCATGAGTGAAAGGACATTGGTGCTGTTAGATTCAGATCCTGAGAAAAATGCAGAGACTTTTGCATCCACCAAAAAGTTCTGTTTGGAACTCTCTTGAACAAATAATCAAAAATGATCTCAAATGAGAACATTGCCAGGTGAAACTAGCATATCATGAGTCTACACACTTTGACATGAAAATAAAGCTGACAGTTGTAAGAGTCAACAATCCTCTCTTCCCCTCATATCTGTCTGTGCCCACACAGGGTTTGGCTTTAGGAAATGGGATATGCAGGTTCATTGATTAATTGTCAGATAGTTCCCAGTGATGATCAAATAGTCATCTTGGCATGCTAATCCCTAATGGAAACAGAGCTTTTAGATTCACTGTAGTTCTTTGTCTCATTCTTTGCTGCCTACATTTGAATGCAGCTGAAGCCCGCAGGAACGCCGTGCCGTGAGTCCAGTAACTCATGTGACCTTCCCGAGTTCTGCACGGGTACCAGCCCTAACTGCCCCTCCAACGTCTACCTACACGACGGCCACGCCTGCCACAGCGTGGACGGCTACTGCTACAACGGCATCTGCCAGACCCACGAGCAGCAGTGCATCACACTGTGGGGCCAAGGTATGTGTAAGAGAAGCCGCCTTACCGGCTCACACTCTTCGTGACTGGTTCAATATTGGTCACCAGCTTCTATTTGATTCGTTGTATTTATGTAATTATATATTTACGTTGTATATTATGTGTTATATATTTATGTAGGAGCAAAACCAGCTCCGGGTATCTGCTTTGAAAGAGTCAACTCAGCAGGAGACCCCTATGGCAACTGTGGCAAGGACTCCAAAGGCTCCTTTGCCAAATGTGAAGCTCGGTAAGACTTGACATTCGCCCGGAAACGAATGAACTATTCTCGATTTAAAAACAAGTGACAGCTTAAACAAGAGAAGTTATAATTAATAGCAGCTCTAAATGAAGGTGACAGAGTCAGTTTGTGAAATGCAGAAAGTTCCACAATGTCTCAGGTGATTGTGTGAGAACAGCACAAACAAGCTGCCTGTTCTGCTCTATACCCATAATTGGACAGCAAGAGTGAAGGAAAAATAATTGCATATTTACACATTTGGGGAAACAGTGGTGTGTTATTCAATTATCAGATTGTTTTTCTCTCCGTGGTTGTTTCTTTTTTTGCAGAGATGCTAAATGTGGCAAAATCCAGTGTCAAGGAGGAGCTAACCGCCCAGTAATTGGTACCAACGCTGTTTCCATAGAAACAAACATCCCCTTGCAGGAAGGCGGGAGGATTCTGTGCAGAGGAACACACGTCTACCTGGGGGATGACATGCCCGACCCCGGTCTGGTGCTCACGGGGACCAAGTGTGGAGATGGAATGGTGAGCGCTGCTTAAATACAGCTGGCACTGAATTGAGTTGTTTTGCATGTTTATATGCAACACAACTCAATTCAACAGGCAACCTACCCACAAGCAGTGGTGGAGAAGTTCGTTGGTTGTTTTTTTTTCTGCTCCACTAAAAATATCAGGGGGATATGTTAGTGCTAAATTGTGTTTTTCACCTGCCTATATCTACATTTAAAGATTTATTGGTAGTTTGAACCATTTCCTCTTCCAACAGTGGCATCTGGAACATTCCTAGAAAACATTGTAGTCTCCTTTTTCTATTCCATTTTCCCCTTCAAATTGATAATTTATTGAGCTTAAGTGTAAAGATAGAACCACAACAAGGCTTTTTTTGATATCTTCAGATCTTTGGCTGAACCTTTGAATATATTTACATAGATTGCTGACTTCAGATTGTGCCCACCATCCACTTATCACAGCAACAAAAAACGTTTTCGCGACTTGTTTTTAACCAGACTTTAAAACATACAGAGGCTATGAAATCCCCAAACCACAAATAAACATGTATGGTAGCTAAGACTGCATGAAAACATAACATAGATATAGATTTCCTAAATAATTGAACGTAAGAATAGAAAAATTGAGGCGTCAGACAGGCCATGACTAAGACGTTCTTCAGGGTGTGTCCTCTAGTCACTTTAGCCTCCCACACTTAATTGACTTAACATTATTCAGCCTATTTGGCATCTTTCAGAGGTCATCAATTCACTCATTGGTCACTCCAATGATACAGTTAATCCATTTAGTCTAATTTACTTCTCTGTGAGTCTCCACCCTGAAGGAGGATCCAGCCTCAGCCTTCATCTGTCAAAGACCCTGGCATCACTGTGTGTGTGTGTGTGCGTGCGTGCGTGCGTGCGTGCGTGCGTGCGTGCGTGCGTGCGTGCGTGCGTGCGTGCGTGCGTGCGTGCGTGCGTGCGTGCGTGCGTGCCCAATGCTGCCAAGTTCATCTCTGCTGTCTGACTGGGTGTCTCAGGGTGTGGAGACTCGAAGGCGCCCACAGTCTAGCCTGCATAACTTTTAAAAAGCAGTTTTTTAATAAGTTTGGAGTGTTATTTTATTTGTATTTTTTCAAACTGATGTGGTGAATCTGTAGCAAATTAAAAGAAACAGAGAGCTGAATCATTTACTCTTGAAACATGAAAGGTTTCAAAGATTACTGAAATGGGTTTTGAGCTCACACTGTCATTTTTTTAAATGTCTTTCTCTGCCTCAGATGTGTCTGAACCGTCAGTGCCAGAATGTCAGTGTTTTCGGTGTGCACGATTGTTCAGCCAAGTGCAGCAGTCGGGGGGTGAGTACAGCAGCCGTTTTCCTACCTTTGTCCACCTGAACTGATTGCTCTCTATCTCTACCAGTCCCTAGCCAGAATTAGCTGTTAACTTAATATCTCATTCCCTCCTCACACAGAAGCTCATTTTGCCTGTAATTTGCTCAAAAAGTCCCCAGTATACGCCGGTAAGGGAGCCATTACACGGCCTCACAATCAATCATTCTGGTTGCTGAAAGGTTCAATCAATTAGACATAATGGCTTCATTCATGCTCCGCTTTGAGTGCCATTCATCATACTCTCAGGCAGTCGTCCTTGTCCCCAAAAACTATATCGAAATCTGAAGGCCAGGCTTTCTTTGGCCAAATGGTGGCACACAGTTTGACTTTGAGAGAGGGGAGCATGGTTATTGGATTTTCTTTTAAATACCACCAGACAAACGTCTATGGGTGGGCCTGTTTGAGATTAAATATGTGGCTTTGTGGTATTGCCCTTAAATCCACTGGTAGGTCTCAAAAGGGTTTAACGGCGACATCTCAATCAAAGCTACAGAGGAAACTTTTTTTATTATCTCTTAAAATGTAACATCACCACTTATTATACGGCCGTATTTGTTTTTCTAGTTCCAATTAAGACATATCTATAAAGCTGTTAGGACAGTTTTACTCACAGAAATAAAAAAAGATGTTGCTCCTGGAGGAGACAGGACAACTCTGCATGCCAGGATTAGATCAAGATGTTGCCTTGGAAAAAGGCCCTCACCTGCTCCACATTACCCTGCTGGGAAATCCTTGTAGAATTTACAATTCCTGTTCTCTCTGCAGGACAGGAAGGCAAGGAAAAAGAGAAAAAAAAAAAGTGGAATAAGGCAAAAAAAAAAAAAAAAGTTTTTATACAAGATGCCTTTTAATGTTGGGGCCTTGCAGGGATCGCTTGTGGTTGAATCTGAAAAAACTCAGTGCAGCACAATGGACTAGAGTTCATAAAACAAACACAATACATCTACAGAGAATAATCTTTTAATCATCCATTAGTCTCTAAAAGCTATTGCAAGCAAAAATCTTAAACACTGATTGATTTGTCTGATCCCCAAACATGAGGATAAGCTGCCTCTTTTTTCAAATACAGTAGATTAATTATTATATTTACAGAACAATAATGAGTAGATTAATCCATTTTGAAAATGATCATTAGCTGAGACCCGGGTGTTATTATAGTCTGCATCCAATTTCATAGCCATAACTCATCTGTCACTATTAGTAAATGCACTGTAGCCCAATGAGAGCAGAAGCTGCATATTAACAGAGTGTACTGTTAGGCATATGCTCAAATGTAGCATGAAACAGAAAAGCTGGTGATTGTGATTTTAGGCTCATCTAACAGGTAATCGGCCCTTCAATGTCCTGCAGGTGTGCAACAACAACAAGAACTGTCACTGTGAGGCTCACTGGGCGCCGCCTTTCTGTGACAAGACGGGCTTTGGAGGGAGCGTGGACAGTGGACCCATTAGATTAGCAGGTAGGTCAACCAAAGGGCCAATCCTATTGAAGCTCTTTACATAGCTGTGTTGAATACTCACATCCGATTGGTCAATTGAGGGAAATTTAAAGTGTGATGTTTCTCTAAAACAGATCTTTACCATGAAGATAGACAGTTGCTTGTTGATCACAGACATTGGGCGGCTAAATCTGAGAGAAAAAGCTGGCTACCACAGAGAAATAAAAACAGCTGAAGACGGCACATAAAGTAAACACAAAGCAGAGCACGATATGGAATATGACAGCTATTTGGCAGAAAACATCAATCAAGTGCGGCTGTGATTCTTTCAGCCGAGTTCACCTTGTCCAATATCATTAGCGGAAATGTTAAATGTGAGCTAGAACAGCTGAGAAGGCTGATTTTAAAGAGGCTCCAGTGCCGTAGAAGCAGTACCGTTCAGTCTAAGGGACATTTTTTTTGGTTATAGAAATAATATCTTTTGTATTTATTTTGTTTTTATTACACTGTTTTTTTTTTTTTACACAGATAAACAAAATGAATCAATTAAACTTGAAATGTACTGCCATACAGATTTGTGCAAACTGACTTACAAAATAATGAACATGAAATTGGGATCCATCATCTTCTAAAGATAAAGGAAGGATGTGCAAATAAATAAACAGAGCATAAATCAAGTATCTCCTCTGTAAATGTCTCTCTGAGTCATGACTGTCTACAATGAGGGAGAAGCCTGAGTCCCGCTGGCTGTGTTGTTGTCAGAGCTGTGTTTACATCAACTTTACATTGCACTGGAAGGCTGACTCCTCCCCTTGAGTGTAAAAGCTGTTTTAGTCAAAGACTAGAGAGAAGAAGAATAACATACTCACTGCTTATTTTGATGTCACGGAACAATTTTATATCACGGCCAGACCGCGTCAATTAATGTGCAATTTGAAGCTGTGAGCTAACTAAAGTGTGCTAACATTAGCCTGCGAACACAACGCTGCAGGCCATGGGCAATTGCAGCTCGAGCAAAAGACAATTTTTGCCCACCGCTTGCGCTTAATGATGCCTAATCATGGTGGGTTCCATTGGAAAACTCCTTCATGTGAAGGCGAGTGGAGAGGGGGTTGAAGGTGTGTCGCTAGAGGAGAGCGGAGGCTTCATTATGGCAGAGATGTGGCCAAACAGCAATTTGTTTTGGTTTCATGCTGGTGCTCAAGGGCGACGTCTACTGGTTGCACGTTCTTCCTTTAAAATAAAAGTATGCAAATGAATAAGTGCAAAAGAATAAAACACAAAAAAAGATGTATCAAATTTGATTTAAAAGTTCTGGTCAGAAACTTTCCTTCTTAACATAAATAACAAATCAAAAGAAAAGCTTTAATCAAAGAAATGTGTATTTTTAAAATAATAATTTTCGGTGCAGCGGAATCACAGGATGACTCGCTTTTGTTTTCAGAGCGTGCGCATGTGATGATGTATGAGTCGTCTTTGAGTCCTGCTTTTTCTTACATACTTAATGGTTTCTTCTAAATTTGTTTGGGGCTGGGCAGATTATTTATACATAATACAATACAATACAATAATAGAAACCAATCACTCGATCAATCCTTGTGTGTTTCCCGAGCAGACAGCAGGAATCTGACTGTGGGCATCCTGGTCGCTCTCCTCACTGTCCTGGGAGCGGCTCTGATCATCTGCATCAAGAGGAAAACCCTCCTCGGCCTCCTCTTCACCAGCAAGAAGAACCATCTGGAGAAGCTCAGGTAATTCATTTTAGAAACACCGTCATTGAATCATTTGTAAATATCACAGAATATGTTTAATTCATTCTTTCTTCTCCAGATCTGTGAGCGGTGCGATCAGCGGACCATCCCCTCTTAACCAGCCCCCGTCGGCGAGCACGTCTCCGTCACGGCCAGCTCCGCCCGTCCCCCACGGCGCCACCATCTTCAAGGTCACTACAACACACGTCTTAGTCGACAAGCCGTCCACGGACACACAGATTAAACATGTTCAGGACGGTATCTGACTTTAAACGAACGCAGGATCAACCGGCGCTCTGTAATGCTCTTCACATATCATCCTCAGCAGGATTGACGTGTTGTTTTCACACAAATGGCAGCTCATTCAAATCCAATTAAATCCTCCCTTCTGTTTGTGCACATGTGGAGGAGGTTGCGATAATGGAGTCTGCGCGTTCCTGACACTTGAATACATTTCTTTTCTGTAACAGCTGTCTGTTAAGACAGAAATTGATCATCTGCACATGAAGAATGTTTACTGGCTGCTCACTTCAGATGTAGAGTCATCCTGTTGCTGATAGTTGCATGTCTCCCCCCTCCCCCCCTGTTATTCCTACATGCCTGTGTCTCTTAAGTACTTTATTACTGCCTTGACATGCTTTATAATGGGAAGAGGCCTGTGATCGATCTCTGCAGCTGTGTCAGGACTGACATTTGCGATTCATGGTGGCACACAGTGGGTGAGGGGGGGGGAAAGCTGTTGCGCATTAGCATGAGTTTGGTGTTTTCAGTTAGTCGCATGTGGTTTTCATTTGGGGTCAACGGTAAGAAGAGAAAGGATGTAAGGCTGTTTGATGTCAGCACAGTGTAGGTTAGGTCATTTTCCAGGCGGAGCGAGCTGCGTTAAACAGCCGTGGCCATGCTTTGTGTGCTGCATTGTGTGTGTGTGTGTGTGTGTGTGCGCACATCTGGCTGTGTCTTCATGCCTGACAGAGTCATTTTTTGGCTCTATTCTCTGTCTGACCGGTCTCAACAGGAGTGTGTGTGGGCTCTTTAGCTGCCTCCACCTTTGATTGAGGCCTTTTTTAAAGGTTACCTGAAGAGGAGTTTGAGGGGAAAAATTGAGCAAGCTAAAAAAAAAGGGGGGGGAACGTTTGATTTATATATCTTTGACAACGTCAGGAAGACGAGCGCAGGAAGAGGAGATGGTTTAACATGACTGTTTCTGATAGGAAGCAGACGCTTTCTCTTCTGACCAACCCCTTTCTGTCTTTCATCTTCTTCTGCAGCCTCCTCACCGGGGGCCCGAGGCGCTGCTCCCACCAGCCCCTTACCCCTCCCACCACAGCCTGCACAGACTGCCCCTGTGCCCTCCAGTTCACCTCAGCCACCCGGTCCCCCTGTCACTCACCTTGTCCCTCTCCCCCGGCCCCGTGCAGCCAAGACCTCCTGTGCCTCCGCCTCACATCCACGTCGCACCCCGCGGGGCGCCGTTTCGAAACACATCGCGCCATAACTCCTGCAGGATGGTCATGGTGAGTGAGTTCTCCGTTTCCACAGTCAGACACTTTTTATTTGATGATGTTAACATGCTGTAATTCCTCCGCCAGGTCCGGGTGAGACAGTTTTGTTCACTGCACCTTCAAATGGGTGTTTCTTTCATGGTTCTGGTGTGTCTTCTATACTGCATGCACGCTGACAGTTATTCACAGTCCCATAAAATAACGAGGTTAACCCAGGAGCTAGCCTCACCCAAGCGAAACTTCAATTCTGCGTTACAAAACCGCCACATAAATATTGAAAATGGAGCCAGACTTTCAGGGGACGGGCGGGGGAGGGACGGAAAAGATGAAACAGCAACTGGAGTGAGAAAGTGTGTCTAAATATCACATGGTGGCACATTTGCTGCCACTGGTGTTGGGCCGAGTTCAGCTCCTCGTGTTGCAAGGCTGTCAAAGCTGAGGGGGAGAGAATGGCAGAGGTTCCTGCTGTTAAATCCCTCTAACTCAGGGATTTTCAAAGACTCTTATTTGCCTTTAATCCGGTTTGACTTGTACTCTGTGGGAGAGTCAAGCAGAGAGTCGCAGAGAGAGAGAGAGAGAGAGAGAGAGAGGATATAATCGACAGAGAGAAAAGACAATACAGAGACAGAGGGGGGATGACGATAATAAGTTAGGGAATTGATGAAAAACATGAAAATCAATACGAGAGCCTGAAATATCCTTCAGCTTAACTAGTAGTCATTATCGACGGTTGATGTGGAACCTCTGCGTTGTCAAATCAGTGTACAATCACTCCTGCTAAATCCACCTTGAAGACGTTCGTTTTGATTTCAACTCATAATATTTTATATTTGCAGTCAAATCAGTGGAATTGTTCCCTCTCTGAAAGCAGTGTGAACTTGGTGGCGCTCACATCAAAAAAAAGTTTTAAAGCTGTCGTGTCACCATACGTTTATTTGCTTTTTGTTTTGAGGTGTGGTCAGACAACACAAGTTATCTGAAGATGTCACCCCATCCTGAAGATAAACAATCGTTGTGTATTTATTTATTGAAGTATTTTGTAAACCTTTGAGATGCCTAAAGTTTGAGAGACAGTGCACACTAATGTTAACTTTGCCTTTAACCACCTATAATAACATATATGATATGAAGGAATGTCATGGCTATAGAACACAGTAATGTGGGATGGCATTTATTAGACATTTATGTAGTGGTTGTAAACAGTGAACTCCACAGGTGAAAGGGAAACGTCATCGTACACATTGTGTCATTAATATTCCAGGTTCAGCTACATAGCCTGCAGCTATCTGTTCTGTCCCGGGGTCACACTAATTAAAGTTCTGCTCCAAATCACTTTAATATGTTTTTTTTTACTTTAGGGGGTGCCAGAAAGCCTAGATGTTACATCATGTGCCTCATGTAGTCAAGGCTACAGTCCTGAAGCAGGCGCCCCAGGTTCAACTCTGACCTTTGACTCTCTGCCACATTTCATTCCCCACTCTCTCATTCCAGTTTCCTAATCTATCCACTGTTTTATCTCTACATTTAAAAAGCCCCCCCCCAAAAAAAATAAATAGTATACAGGACTTTAGTTTCAGGGGCGCAGGATAGCCTAGCTGTTATGTGGCGCCCCATGTACAGAGGCTACAGTCCAGTTCAAATCTGATCACCTTTGCTGCATGTCATCCCCCTCTCTCTCCTCCCAACATGTCCTCTCTCTCTTCAACTGTCTGATCCAATAATGGCAGAAAATGGCCCCCCCAAAGAGTCTTTAGTTTCAAAGAACTCCATTCAGCTTTGCAAAGGGTCATCACACCCCTGTACATCAGGTGAAGAACTGCGGCTCAGTGCAAATGTTTGACTTGAGGAAGTGGCTCTCCCCTCTCAGATGTTCCTACTTAATGTCAAAGTGTGAATCTGAAAGTGAAGCATGTTGGCGGCAGACTTCACCCACAGCGATTTAAGCAGCTGTTTGGCAGCTTTAAGAAGTTGACAGAACCTTTTTTTTTTTTTTTTTCTATCCTCCCCACACTGAAAGCTCTCTGCTGGGAGCCTGAGAGTAACGTCTGAACTAAAGGGAGAGATTCACCTGATGGAGCTTGAAAGATTTTTTAGACAGGCTTGGATACGTGAGATGTGGTTTTAACGTATTCTCATTTGAAGCTTTAGCGACATTTTGTGTCATTTCACTTTACTACCTGTTGAAACTTTTCTGATATTTTTGGAAGGAGCTTGAGTTGGCTCACGTAGGACAGTGATGGCTGTCAATGTGATGAATTAGTAACTTTACTGCTAGAGTGCAGAAACTTGCAAAGGGGAGAGACTTGTACTACATTGTCATCTTTACTTAGTGTGTGCAACTTTAATGGCAACATTCATTTTTTTTAAGTATTCATGGTGTCAATCTGCAGACCTGATTCAACGGGTGATTTTAAGGTTTGCTTGTTTGGCTCCTTCCCCTCTGCTGATGTTTTAGGATCCCTCTCTAGAGGAGAGGGAGGAAGTGAATCGAGTCCAGATCGAGGACTGTATCATGACTCATTTAGAGAAGATTAAAACCACATGACATGTTCCTTTACTTGCAATGAAGTAGCATGGGCAGGGCTGCCCTTAAAGCCTGAAAGAGCTGTTATTATGTGACTGAGAGTGCCATCTGCTGGAGATAGCAAGTCATTTTGTTATATCTTTTTTTTTTTACAAGGAGTTGGAGAAGCCCAGCCCTCCTCAGAAACCACTTCCCGCTGACCCAAGGAGCTCTCGCCTGATTCGAAGTCCCTCTGTAGTCCAAGGGCCAAGGGCAGCAGTTTGTGGCCCTTCAGCCGTATCTATTGTACCCAGACCTGTGCGCCCTCTCCCACGCCCAAACAGGTGAGTTCCATCCATCCCATTTATTTGGGGGAAAAAAAGACGCTTGTTTTACCCTCTATCAATTTTTTTAAAATCACTTTTCTCCCTCCTCTAGACCCAATCCCAAGCAGCCCCCAACACTACCAAAGCCTTGCATAATTGCCAACATTAAATACAGCAGCTGAGACTTTGGACCAAGGGGACATTGTTGTGACAAGACACTTAAAAAAGAAAAAGAAAAAGAAATTTGCACTATGAAAACTCTGAAAACCTTAAAAAGATGTCGGCTTCTCTGAGGATCAGTAGACCTGCCGTGTCCCTTTTGGTGCTCTGTCTCTGAATGGTGCTACGAGTCTGAGCTCAGGTACATGTAAAGTATTTATATTCTGTATTTATTGCCACGCAGTGCACTGTGCCAGACACTTTTACTACACGGAAGCAACATGAAATTTGTGTTTTACAGCATTTTTTTTAATTTTTTTTTTATCAATTGATGTTCATCAAGACGAGTGATAGGAGATTTTAACAAAACAAAAACAAAAAACACAAATCTGTGAAATTGTGATTGCAGGAATGTTTTTGAGAAATGTCTTTTAATGAAGGGAACACTTTACATCTTTATTTTATCTGTTTTGTTCCCATAACTTTATGAGGAGAAAAAGAGACGTGTGCAATGACTTCACTTGAGAACACTTGATTGTGAAGATAATACATTTTTTCCCTGAAGGTTAATGTGTAGCAGCTTTGAGCCAGTCTGACGAGGCTTGAAACAACCACAGAAGAAGAAGAAAAAAAAGTGGTTTTGCTGCATCTGTTCTGACTAGTTTTCTACGAATATGGAGGCGGCTCAAGTTGTGTTTGAATTCCTCTGCACATGTAAGGAAATAATGAAATATCACTGATTTCTGTTTGATTTAACAAGCCGTGAGAGGCTCACTTTGGGGATGTGGGTACCAGAGTTTGAGCTCAAGGAAATCAAGGAAATGTTCATCCCGCAGAGAGCGTCTTTGAAATCTTGCTCTGCTTTGACCGAAAAAGTGACAAATGTGTTTTTGACTATTTCCCCCGTGTGCCTGTCTACGCTGAGGACTTTGTGTGATCAAATCATGGAATCAACGAGAACTTTCTCAAGGCGTCATGGAGGCACTCTAGAGAGCTCTAAATGGGTGATGTGGGGTTTTAGAATCTGTGATGGGACATAAAGGACGTATGCACTTATCTTGCAGTTATTCATTTTCTAGTATTCTACCTTTTTATTTAGCTTTTGTTTATTTTAACTCATTTAACATGCCAGACTCAAACTCATGCATAAATCAGATTTCTGGTAATTAAAGGTCACCTATTACACTTTTTTTCAACAAGTTTAAATAAGTCTCTGAGGTCCCCAAAACATGTCTGTGAAGTTTCTTGCTCAAAATCCACTATGATTCTCTATTTCAGCCCTGCTCAGAACAGGCTGTTTCTGTGTCTGTAGCTTTAAATGCAAGTGAGCTGTGTTCAACCACGCCCCTCTCTGGAAGGCCAAGGGAGGCTTGGGCTTTCTTGCACCATGCCCAATTGTTGACATTGAGAAGGCGGACTCAGAGGGCAGAACAAACACCTAGCTGTGGGAGGGTCATACCACCTGGGGGAGGGGTTACTTCCCTTTGTGATGTCACAAAGGGAAATCTCCAGACAGGGAAAAGGCAAAGGAGGATGGACTTTTCTCATAATTGGGGGGTTTGTAAACGGACTAGGGACACATTAGTGTTTTGAAAAACATGGTAGAGTGTATTTTTCATAATATGTGACCTTTAAACAGTGCTTTATTCGTCAGAAAAAAAATGCAGACTTATTGTTTAACTGGATTGCCATGCAGCATATATTCACTTTTCATCAAAGCAACATTTCCTTTAAAGCCCAGCTCTTGTTAAAAAAAAATGTGTTGGCTAATATCTGACTTTTGTTACTTTTTATACTGTTCTGTTTTTAATACTACACTACGTGTACATGCCTTGCTTTGTTTATATGCTTCTTTTTCAATGCTCTGTGTCCTTGTACAAACAGGCAGTCACCTGACTGCACCTTTTTGTCCATTTAAGTTCTTGTATGTTGTGTTACAGGTGAACACATGTCTATGGAAAATGCTTTTTTATATGATTGTTTGATACATCATAAAAATTTCAAATGTCAGTGTGTAGACTGAGTATTTTCAACACTCAAACAGTCTCAGTAACACAGATGGTTTAAATTGAGATTGATATGTGTGCCGATCTTTTACTTTTTCACAGCATGTATTTATTTATGCAAAAAAGCATTTTTTATAGCAGTTGAAAAATGCATGCACTCAAACTGTGCCGCATCTCAAATAGTCCTAGTTTGAAGAATACGCAGAAAGATTTCAAACTCTCTCCCATTTAAAAACTTCAATAGTTTAATATTTACACACATTAAAGAGCCTCTGACTTTTCTTTTATACTTGAGCCAAATTGCTACCAGATGACTGAAAACTCAAATGCAGTTTCACATTCACATTCTACATTCTACAGACTTTATATTCGGGAAGGTTTGAGGTTTAATAACTTTTAAAATAACTAATTTAATATCTGAATCTGCTTACCTTATTTCAAGAGTCATGAGTGTTTCAGCAGTTTCTTCAAAGTTTTCATAAGGAGTAAATAAATAAACCTTAAGGTGGAATGGATGTCAAGTCAATACGATTATTTTACTGCTACTGATCAGACGAAGCGTCCCTGAACTTAAATCGTAAATTACCGTAATTTTCGGACTATAAGCCGCACCTTTTTTCCCATTTTTCGACCCTGCGGCTTATATAACGGTGCGGCTAATCTATGGACTTTTACAGCTAACGGCCACTAGGGGACCTCCTAAATCTATAGATTTTACAGGTTACAGTCCACCAACTTTAACTCTATGGGCTCTATGACCGGTCCGCCCCCCCACCTTTAAGCGGCGGGCTCCAGCAGGAAAAGCTGGAGGCCGGAAAAGAGTGAGACAGGTAGCGCGCAAAAGTAAAAGTGGAACCGAGAGTGGTACGAGAGACAGAACGAGAGACAGAACGAGAGCAAGACAGACAGACATTACGAGAGCGAGACAGTTTGTGCAAAGGAAGTTTTCATGCACAAACCCTCATTATGGAAAACAAACGTAGAAATGCATATGATGCAGCTAAATGGGAGCTTCCTCAAGCAGCCATCTCTTTCCCGACAATCCCCTCTGTGCACGAACCCTTACATATGGTAATTAAACATTAAAACACCTGCGGCTTATAGTCCAGTGCGGCTTATATATGTACACATCATTCAATTTAGCTGCTGCGGCTTATACTCCGGTGCGCCTTATAGTGCGGAAAATACGGTAATCTGAAATCAAACTGAGCAAATGTATTTTTCGCTCACAACTTTTGAGCAAAAAAGAGCTGACCCTCACCTTGGCTCACTGAATGAGCTACCTGAACCTGACCAAACTAACTCCATGAATGTAACATTAAATAAATGTAAGTCTGGACTGTCACACCCTAGGATGTCTCTCGTTAAAGTAAGCCTGATGATTTTTTTTTTTTTTTTAATACCATATATATTTTTCAATACAGGTGACTGTGGAAGGGGGGGGCTCAGCTTTTTTCAGCCCCTCGCAGCCCCTCCCTTCCGCCGCCGCTGACACCACGAAGAACTATTTCGATAGCAGTTTATTAGGATGATTCCACTCTGCAGAGACACCCTGTCATGGTGAAGAAGAAACATCACATCACAAACACATACAATGATTGTTTACTCCTCTATGTTCTCCTGTAGCCTCATGACAGCTGAGAAGTTCAACGTAAAAGAAAGTTTGAGTTAGGGTAAAACACGGGGGCTCACTGAGGAGGCATTTACGGTCGTGGACAGAAGGGCTTCGTCCACCATCAGTCCCATTCCGTATCGCTGCAGGCAAGTTATCTATCCTGGATCTACATACAGGTGGTTTAGGTTAGGTAAAGGATATTTCCTCCAATTGAAAGCAGTGTGCGATTGCAGCGGCTGCATGAGCACACTTCACCTGTAGGCGACATTATATTAAAGAATCGAACTTTCTGCTGGTGGTAAAACGCCTGATTGACACCTGATAGGCTACATTGAGCCATCCAAACACGCTGGGTTTAAACACGAGATTATGACAAGCTAGTGAACATGGCTCGGAGTTGAATATAAAATATCTATGCAAACAGAAACACGCTTGAAGCCACGCTGGCGAGAAATTACGCGCAGGTGCGCACTGCCAGTCAGCCAGCCAGCCCCGAAACAGAACCGCTTCAGACTCTGAACAAGTTATAGCCTTAGTTTCATAAGGTAAGAAAACGAGTCTTGCAATTCTGGTAGCCTTATTACTGTTCTAGTAGAAGCAAAAGTTCTAAGTGATAGACTGCTTGAAGGCGGATCGTTTATTTTCGATCAAAATAAAAATGGATCCGTAGCTGCAGCCGGACACTAGCCCAGTTTGCGCCCTTGTCTGGATGAACATATGACAATATTCTGTTAAACCATGTCGGAGAAAATCAATCCCGCTGAGCCTGACATTCACCAAAGAGTGAGGAATGTCCTGCGGACGGTTTATTTGGCTTCGGAGATGACCTGGAGATAAATCTGTTCGACGGATTGCCCTTTTCCTCCCGTTACTACAAATTACTGAAAAAGAGGAAGACTCTCCTGTATGGAAGGTCAGGCACGAGTTCGAAGATGCTCTGGTTAAGAACCAGCTGGTTGTTCTGTCTGGGATGGCAAAGACTGGGCGGAGTACACAGGTAAGATTGAACGAATAACTTGAATGTTTTATTGGGAAGAGGGGAGGATTAAAACGTTGTGTTAGAATCAAATATTTAAACTCCAACTTTGATTTGTTTTTCTTGGGAGTGCTTGAAATCTCACTCGTGAAAGCTGGTCAAAAATCTTCCTTACGAGTTTAAAAAGATAAAGAATAATATGCCTCTCTTTAGGTTGACTTCCTTCAGACTGGACTCAAATACCAAACTCTAACTCAATTTGCATGACTTGCATTCAGTTAGCAGACTCAGGCATCAGCCCTGATTTGATTATAATGTGAAGTTAACCCTTTTAATGTGTTTTCCCTGCCAAGTCTTAACAGAGCTCATGTTAACACTACAACTTCTTTCTTTCAAAGTTCTGGTTCTGTGACAGTATTTTTTTTTTTTTTTAAACTCTGTTATGTCACAGAGGTAGTGCCATTATGTGAGCTTGTTGTGTGACCATGCTGCCCAGCTCAGCAGATGCTGTTGTCACTGTCAGGCTGTCCAAGCTCTTGACAAGCAGGCTTCACAAAGGCTCCAGCAGGGGTGTTAGGGGACCTCCTGCTGTTAAGCCCCTGTCCGCTTGAGCCCCTCCATGCTGCCAAAGCAATGTTTGCATTATGAGTAATAATACCGTATAATAGCTCCTGTCCCTGTTTGTTTTGTGTCGTCCTTCAAACAAAAGCTGTCGGTACAATTGTGGAAATTCCAGTTTGAAAATATTTGGTTTTGACTTGAGAGTAGGCCACAAACCTACAATGATATATGGCTTCCCTTTTCAGATCCCTCAGTGGTGTGCAGAGATCTGTCTGTCTGCTCAGTACCAGAGCGGCAGAGTTGTGTGCACGCAAACCAGCAGACAGCAGGCTGTAGATCTGGCTCTGTGTGTCGCTGATGAAATGGACGTCAACATCGGCCATGAAGTGGGTTACACCATCCCTCACGAGACCTGCTGCTCCTCCGACACTATTCTGAGGTCTGTTGACAAGCTCCCAGTCCGTCCATTTCACGGCTGTCAGCAACTCACTGAATGTCAATTTAATATCACCTTCACCATTCTTTATCTCTCTTTACCATGTCACCAACTGTCAAGCATGGTAGACACACACACACACACACACACACACACACACACACACACACACACACACACACACACACACACACAACCAATTCTAGCAGAAGGTACCTGATTTTATGTCAACCTACCAACAAAGTGACCAATATATTGCACCTGCAGGTATTTCTTGTGGAAATAGTTAAAGTGCGGAAATTAAAGGCAGGGTTGGTAATTTTTTTAAACTCGCACAAGTTTGAAAGTAGCATTCACTCAGTGCTCAGTGCCCTTCCCTGTGTGCTCCCTCATATGCCACGCCCCTCACTTACATGCACTAACGCTGCATTGTGTGGGTTATGCACATGAGTGGCTTATGCCGGTCTGGTCCACTCATGTGCCGCATATGATTGCCATATGAGTGGAAATATGCTAAGGTGTCTGCAGGGCCTCGGACAGTTTGTGCACTGATGATGTCTTTAAAGCAACACACTCAAAAGTATTCTGAGAAGTGTAGCCATTGTCATTAAGTTGCCACTTTGGGCTGTTAAAAAAAAAAAAGAAATCTTGCTCTTGTATATCTCCACTGTAGACTCCTGTGATGGCTTTTATCCAAGCTGTTACCTCCAGTGTTGAAAAATTGAAGCCAACGTGGAATTGCACAAAACTACAGTCTTCGAGAGTGCACTTGAGACTGGCTGCAAAAGCCAAGGAATCCCCATTAGGGGGCCCATATTTGAGCGCCCATTTTTACAACAGAAGAAGAAATGCTCACGGCCTGGTTAAAAAGAAAACTGGTCTCTGAAGCTCGTTTCTTTAGTTGTACTAAAAACTGTTAAGAGGATACATCTTATTAGAAGGCATCCATTTTGATTACATTACTAGGCTAAGAGTTATGCACACATTTTCATATTTAGAGGCGTGGTAAATTTGACTGACAGGTGTGTGCATTGTAGCTGTTTGCCAGGAGGCTGAAGGCCCGCCTATTTCTAGCTTAATCAAAAGTCAGGTAGATACAGAACTTCCAATATGGCCACCACTATCACTGATCTTTATCATGCCTTTTTAGAAACCAAAGGGTGATGTCACTTAGACTATGTCCATGTTTCATATAGTCCATGCTTTTATCCCGCAGGTACTGCACCGACGATATGCTTCTTAGAGAGATGATGTCGGACCCTTTTCTGGAGCACTACGGAGTTATCATCATTGACCAGGCCCATGAGAGAACTGTATGCACGGACATACTGCTGGGTCTTCTCAAGGACATCCTTCTGCAGAGGCCTGAGCTCAGAGTGGTGGTCCTTGCCATCCCACCAATGACTGACAAGCTCCTGAGCCGCTATGGCAGCGCCCCACTCATCAGTGTACAGGCCTCGACACCTGCTGGGGTGGTCCACAGCAACAGTGGCAACAAAGACTACTTCTTTTCTGCATTGAGACTAGTGCTCGAAATACACCGAACCAAGGAGGAAGGAGATGTTGTCGTGTTTTTAGCCTCTAATGAGGTGAGAGATTACCTTCTTTTTTTTTAAGAATGGTTTCTTTGGACCTAAACTGAGATTGGTTTAAAACATTTTCCTGTCGTCTCTTCTTCAGGAAGTTCATTCTGCCTACACCATCCTCCAGCGAGAGTGCACCAGACTTGGAGCAGAACTGGGCCGGATGGTCCCTGTGGTCCTGTGCCCCGTCCAGGGACGATTAGTACCTGTGCAGACCGAGCAACAAGGCGCCACAGGTTGCAGGAGGGTTTTCCTCTCTACCCAACAGGGGGAGGACATGTGGTGGCCTACAGAGTCCGTCAACTTTGTCATCAACACAGGAGTCCAGAAGAAGCTGGTGAAGTATTATGGACATACAACAATTAAAAAAATCTTCCAAAAAGAAGTAATATGACGATTTTTATTGAACTGTTTGTTGGCTTTGTAGGTGTACCATCCAAGAATAAGAGCCAACTCAGAGGTACTGAGACCCATCAGTCAGTGTCAGGCAGATGTACGTAAGCAGCTCTCTGGACCAACAGGTAGGAATGACAATTCTGACATTCTGACACCAGTTTGAAGGGGTTAATTTATGATTATTTTCAAGTCAGAAAACATCCTGGCAACTTGACCACAATAATGCTGGAGTAGCAACATCAGAATGAATCAAATAAGGTATTTTAGTGTATCAACTCTTCTCCTTCGTGAATTAATTTCCATGTATTTTTCTAGGTAAATGCTTCTGCCTGTATCCAGAAGACAGCAAGCTTTCTGCAGAGAATTCCCCACAGATCCTTGAGTCCAACATCACACCAACTGTCCTTTTTCTAAAACGGATGGAGATAGCTGGCCTTGGGCAGTGTGACTTCATCGACAGGCCCGGTAAGCCTGCAAGTGAAAATTGCCCAAGTTAACCATTGAAACATTTTTAAATTCCAGTTACTGGTTCCCACAGATGACATCTTGTTCCCAACCCAATATGCAGCCAGAGAGGTGTATATGGGAGGGGTGTGTTTTTGGCTAGAGGAAGTCTAGTCCAGAGGAAGTTCAGAATTTGCTCTGTGTAGCTGTTTGGGCCCAGTCAGCCGTGAATAAGCTGAGCTGACAGGACCCTGCTACTAGCTATTGTCTGAGCTCTGAACCACCCTAACAAGAACAGAAGAGGCTACAAGAGGCCAGCTCATTAGTGATTATACAACATGTCTCATTTGGGGAGCACCCGACCAGTACAATAAAGGGGAAACGTAGGCCAAAGTTACTATACTTGTTCAATATTCAAATAGAATTTGGCACGGAAGCAAGTCACCATAATGTTTTCAGCCCAATTATTTAATCTCATCTACTAAACAGTCATTTTGAGATATCACCACTTCTGCCTCAAGTTTGAATTCCCAGCACAAGGATTGCTTTTCTATTCTTTAAAGAGCCTTTTTCCACATATGCACTCCTGAAAATTTTGAGTGAATTTCAGGAGGACTGTCCCCAAATCTCGGTGGACAGGGAGGGGAGGTGGGGGTCTCCCAGGCCAGGACATTATGTAAAAAGGCTCAAGGGGAATTCTCCTGATAATATCCTGATGCATTCTCACATCAATTCACTCGGATTTTTTTGTGCACTCGCAGGAGAAACTCACACATGGAGCTCATCTCGAAAATTTCAGTGGTTTTTCAGGAGTTTTTTTAAAGTTTGAAAGCACTTTATTTTAGTTTTATACACCAAGCAAGAAACCAATGTATAATACTTGTAGCAGCAACAAGGGGTGATCCTAGCGACTCATTTTCCTGTCGATTTTAACTGCAACAGCCCCGGCGAGTGGCTGGTGGCTGTTACAGTTTAGACACATAAAGCAGTATTTCACCAGCATTGTGGGCCCTTTATTAATCAAATGTTTGAATGCTTTGGATTCTTTTTTTTTTTTTTTTATTGAACCATGCTGTTTAATTCCTTGTTTCAGATCCTGAGGGTCTCATGCAGGCGTTGGAAGAGCTGGACTACCTCGCAGCTTTGGATGATGATGGCAACCTATCTGAAATTGGCATCATAATGTCTGAAATCCCTCTGGACCCCCAGATGGCCAAAGCTCTGCTAGCATCTGCGAGTACGACTGCGTGAGCGAGATGTTGACAATAGCAGCTATGCTCTCAGGTATAAGTGTGCAGATAATCCGAGCAAGTCTTTTTAGAAGTACTTTCAAGCAGGTGAAGAACCTCCGATTGGTTGATGGATTCAGCAGATGCTTTTTTTTCAGATGCACAAAGCTGCATATTCTCTGAACCCACTGATAGTTGTTTGTCTCCTGGAAAGTTGACCTTGTTGTTTTCTGTCTTTTTTAGCACCTAGCTGTTTCCTGGAGCCGCCTGCTGGCATGACCCATGAGGCAGTCCAGTGCCACAGAAAGTTCCAGCACCCAGAGGGAGATCATTTCACCCTCATAAATATATATAACGCCTTCAAGCAATGCCAGAGAGAACAATGTAAGAGACAGTTAATGAGAAGAATCAATCTGCTGTCAGGATGTTAACAAAAGCTTACTGGAGTGACAAACCGATGATGTGGAAAACTCTTCATTGTCTGACCCAGCACCAACCTGAACTCAGTAAAGTTCTCTGGTGTATGTTTAAAATTAAGTGTCTGATCTATTATTCAACAGGGTTTCGCAGGTTTCGTCAACATGCTTCAATTTACCCTGATGCACTCACCCTTAAGCTTTATCATTTCGTTTAAGTTTAAGTATGAGAAAAACAATACTTTAACGTATGAGATGCTTTTTTTTTTTTCCTCCAGACCTCAGTGCCAAAAAGTGGTGCCTGGGCTACTTCCTGGATCATTCTGCCCTGAAGACAGCCGAGTCCATCAGATCTGAGCTGACTGACACTCTGAACAGGATCGAGCTTCCCATCTCCGAGCCGTCCTTTGGCACCAAAACCAACACCCACAACATCAAGAGAGCTCTGCTGGCTGGCTTCTTCATGCAGGTACATCCAAGCACAGTGGCTTTAAATACATTTTACCTCCAGCAATGCAGTTGTATTTAAGCTTAAGAGTGTGTTTCCTATTCTTAGATTGCTCGAGATGTGGATGGATCAGGGAACTACTTCATTTTGACACACAAGCACATGGCCCAGGTGCACCCTCTCTCCAGCTACGGGGCTCAAGCCCACAAGCTGGGGCTGCCAGAATGGGTTGTTTTCCACGAGTACACCCTGTCAGAGAACAACTGCATGAGAACAGTCTCTGAAATTTCCCCTCAAGTGTAAGCCAGTCCCGTTTTTCAGCTCATTGCCAGATGTGACCGAGGAGATTACAATTGAGTTGTCATTAATTATCCCCTCATACAGCAAACATGTTTTATTATTGTAGTTAACCTGAGACATTGAATCACATTTCTAAATTTAATCTTTGTTTTCACTCTAAAGTCTGTTGTGTGATTTCCTAATAGGAAAAAAAAATCTGTATTAATCGAATATTTTCTTGCTCTTAATTCTATTTTAGGTTCCTTCGAATTGCACCAGTCTACTTCTTCTACAATCTGCCCCCTAGTGAAAGCAAAGACATACTGCAGGACATGCTGGAACCAGATGGAGCCAGCAAACAGAATGATGAGACACAAAAAGCCACCGCAGTCGACAGTGATGCCAACGGTGGCTGTGCAGTGGTGACGCCAACGTACGACAGATGTGTGATTCAATGATCTGAATTTATAAATGTGAACATCTGGCCTGTAATTGCATCTCCTAATGCTTCTAAATGTGTAAAAGTCAAACCCAGGGTGTGAAATATGAATACATTACATGGCTTAAAATGTTGTATGATGGTCACATGTACAGGAATAAAGACAGTTGACTGGATATTGGATGTTGCAATTTGTATTATAGCAATAATTTTCATTAGTCAGTACACCATTTCCAACTCCTTGTGCAAACATCTGGGCAGCTTTTCTGTTTGTTCCTGCACTTCAGCAGTCTGTCTTAAAGTGAGGGCCCTGACAAGAAGACTAGAGATTTTCAGACTTTAATGAGCAGCAGAGGGGCTGCTGTACTTTAAAAAGGAAGAGCTATACTTACCTCCTGTTCACATTATCAGGTATTCAGTTTAAAAGGGACCCTTTCACTGACTTATTTTCATGTTTTAATGACAAATCCAGATGTGTTGGAAGAGTACATTTCTTTTCACATGACACGTAAGGTTTAAAGAAATGAGAAGTATTGCAAAGAATTGTGTTTATTAATAGTCAGTGGCAGGGCATCTACAGAAATTCTTGACAGTTCTATCCATGTTTTGCTCTTTTACTACACAAAAGACTGCTTTCTGCTCAGGTTATGGACAAACGTGTGAAACCGGCTTTCCACCGGGCGATGTCCTCAGAGAGAACTGGAGCTGCTGTGTGACAAATGTGGCTGAACTCTGAGCTGTTGACATTAATACAAAAGGTGCATCATATTCAACGGTTGTAGTTTATAATCTTGTTAGAAAGAATCTTGTAAGAAAAAAAAAGCACAAGCTAGTGCTGGATTTGTATTTATATTCACATGATCTTAATCGCTGTATAATTTGGCTTTATCAGTGATATGTCCATTTTCTTCTACGCTGGATCTTAAAGTGAAGCACACGTTTGTAAAAGCTGTATCACGATACTGACACTGCCTTTCCTGAGAATATATTTAAAGTCTCTTGTTAGCATACTGAAGAATATTCATGGTGTACAGAGATGGTGAGGTTTACACAGTTAAGTATTCTTTGAGTTTGTCCATGATAGCGGACATTCTGTCTGCGGTATCAGCATCACCGTTCTGAAAGGTTTCATGGGGACGTCATCGAACGACCACCTGCCGCTTAAACAGGAGTCTGTTTCATCCTGGACCGAGTAGTGGAACTTCATGATGGCTTGCTGTAAAGAGAACACAGACGGTACTTCAACATGCAGGAATACTTAGAAATAAAGCGGTTATGCATCATTTCTGTATTGTTTGAAGGGCTGAGGAATTCTTAAAAATGATTTGTGTGCAAAAATCACTGCCTTGAGGCAATTTCTTTTTTAGCTCATAAAAAAAAAAAAAAAAAAAAGTGATATTTCCCAAGTACTGTTTGTGGTTCTCACCCTGTGTAGTATCAAACATTAAAAGCATTTTCCTGCTTTTACTTGACTTTACCTCATAAAAGAATTCCTCTTCTGCATTGACAAACATGTATTCATCTTTGGGAGCTCCTCCTCTGGCTGGAATATTCTTGCTCGTCTCTTTGCAGGTTTTGCTGATCATCAGACAGTAGTGGCATCTCCCACTTGGCTTGTTTGTCCTCTGAGCTTCAGCTATTTCATCCCTAAAGGAAAGGAGAACATTCAGATTTTGCATACAAAAAAAAAGGACACTATTCTAACAGTTCATAACTCTGAAATAAAACAGAAACCCCTTCGGCTATTAGAACCATAAAAACCCTTTCTTTACGAACTTAAACTAGAGCTCAGGAAAAAAGGGACAACGTTTGTTCTGATCTAATCTTTCCTCCTATTCGACGCGTGGAGGTGGCGTCACGGAGCGCTGCACCCAAGTTGAAAAATGTGTTAACTTCAGCGCAGCGCAAGAACGGCAAGCGAGACACGGCTCGGCGGGGGCGCAGCTACGCTATTGCACAGAGGAACACATAGACAATGAATGGGCTTGACAGCTTGACAAAAGGCCCTTTAGTGTTAATTATACCCCGAAAGACAAAATACCAAAGAGGACACTGAGGTGGACCAGAGTGGAGCTTACTGGAGCTGTTTGTGAAGCGGGAGGGCGATCTGTGGGGGCACGTTGATGAAGCGTTCACTCAGCAGTAGACCAACAGGCTTGCTGGTATCGCTGAGGATCTGCTCCAGCTGTTCTGTCATGCTGGGGGTGGAGTTCTTCTCACACTGGTCCACGATCAGCTCCTTCACTTCCTCCACACACTGCACATCCTGACAATTGCATCAAACACACACACACACACATATCTAAATAAAGAGCTTCACCTGCTAAAACATAAATTATATTCAGCCAGGTGTTTGCTAAGATGTGAAAAAAAAAATCAGAGTTAGTAATAATTGACCAAATGCATAAATAATACAAAAAAATAACATTATAGAGATTTTAATTAAAGCATATTTAGATAGTTGTTGTTGGCAACAGGTGTTACCTTTCTCTCTGTAAGGTTCAGCATGGAGATGAAGCCAAACACTTCATCCGGGTCGTCGTCATCACTGTCCTCTGGCACCTCGGCTTGCTAGATCAAAAAAATAAAAAAAAATAAAAACAGAAGTAACAAGTAGAGATGAGATGATTCAAAAATTCAGAAACCTGTCGGATAAGGTAAATTAAATTCAAAAGCAAAACCGGAGATTAGTTTCAACTATTGAGGGTCACCCACCTTGATGACGCTTCCAACATGACTCTGTTGAATGATGAGGTCTGTCATCTCTGCTGTGTTTACATGCGCTTTCAGAAACACCTGGAAAAACAAGCATGGCATCAGTGAGAGGGATGATCAGTCAATCACAGTCAGTAAATGTGATCTGAAGACTTTGCATGATAATATAGTGGCAAAACATGGAAGACTGTTCCACACCTGTTGCAAGAGCTTCTTGATGCCATTGTAGTCACTGCTTAGAATGGTGTGGGCTTCAAAATCCACAATGACCTCCTGAATATGACACAACAACAACAACAAAGCAGCTGTGTCAACTATTTAGTTTGAGTTTTAGTCAGTAAACAGTTCAATGGTAGCGTCCTGTTGCCATTAGCCTGCAGCTGAGTTAGCATGCCGAATAGCAAGGCCATGCATCTCATTCACAGTGCGGTGCGGTGTACTGTACCTCATTGATCTCCTCCTCTGACGCCTCGCTGTCCTCCTCTCCGGATTCATCGTCGTCCTCGGGATTCTCATCGGAGCTGTCGTCACTATCCGCGGGGTTTTCACCCAAACCTATTGCTCTCTTCTTCGCGGACGAGGCCATGCTGCAAACACACAACAACACGTGTTGCCGCTGGGTGGGCGGGGCGACGCTTAAAGCGCAGCCACGGAGCAGCGCGGTAGGAAACTGACACTCCGAAGCCGCCATTTTGGCTCCAATGTACACTGCTTTATCTTGCGCTGCGGAGCCACAATGTAAGCCGGTCAACTCGTAGGGAGAGTGGACTAAACCATGTTAGAAAGAGGGGTCTCTAATCGTTTAAACATTGCAAAACTGCAATTCTACCTGTGGAAATATGTTTTCTATTCAATTTCCCAACAATTAAGTGTCACATTTTTTTACCATTTTAAATCCTTTATGGTTTATTAAAATTTTCTATGATATTAATAAATATTTTAAGCATTTTTCTACCCTTCTCGACGGTGTTTGTAATCGTCACGCACCAAGCGGAAGAGACAAACCAAGGTACTTAAATGTCGTGCAGTATTTTGTCTTTTTAGTATTACATGTTGTTCATGTTATTGTGCCATACTACAGGTAACATGGATAAATAACTTCATATATCTTCAGATATCATGAGCTGGGTTCAATTAAAGCGACATGTCGCTATGAGTGTGTCTTACTAATGTAAACAATAACATGAGAGTACACTATTATATAGCCACGTATTATCTGGATACATTGAAAAAGAAATGCATGATTGCTTTTACGCGTCTTGTTCAAACGTGACTCGACAGTTTTGTTATCAGCAGGTCGCATATAACAGTTTTAGGGTGTAGCTTGGCTTGCTTTGCCTTCACACCCTCTGTCCTCGGTTGTTTTGGTTTTTTTTTTGCAGGTATTGGAGTCTGATAGTGGCAACATTCATATTTCACCCTGCTCTGTTCTGCTGTTCATCCAGTGTTTTAAGAGTCTTGGCCAGGATGCATGTACTGCTTCTCAAAGAGCCAAGAGAAGAGGAGTCAGGACCTGATTCTTACATTAAGGTAGATACATAGTTGTACATTTGTTTTGTGTTCATTTGGATGCACTGAACCATTGCACTGTTGTTCATTTTGTTTGCACAGGAGCTGGCATCACACGGACACAAAGCAACCCTTATTCCAGTGCTGTCTTTTAAGTTTGTCTCATTAAACACCCTGTCGGATAAGGTAAATGAAACTGGTGCTGTCCTTAACTAGAGTTTGTGTCTTTTTGATTCATCTTAATGTTAGTTTGCTTTTATGTGTATCTGTTTTTTTGACTTGCTCTTGTTCTTCAGCTTTTCCAGCCAGAAAAGCATGGCGGTCTTATATTCACCAGTCCAAGAGCAGTGGAAGCTGTGAGGATGTGCTTAGAGGCAGAACAAAGACAGGAAGGTAAGAGTGTGTTAAAGGAAGAAAAATGAATTATTACTACCTTTACTGTATTCATTTAATGCCATTAATCCTTTGCCAATTGGATTGCTTTTGCACAAAATTAGTATCATTTCCATCTTTTGATGTCTCGCCTTTTTCCTGATGTTTAAGAATGGAACAGCTCTGTGAAAGACAAGTGGAATATGAAGTCAGTCTATGTGGTCGGGAAAGCAACTGCTGCATTAGGTGAGTTTGTGAAAGACACATTTGTCTTTGTGTTTGTAGTTCTTTTTTTTTTTTTATGATACATCCTTGCTGTGCTAATGTTAATTGCAGTGAAGTGTGGCAGGCACCAGGTGCTGACAGAGGTGTGTGAGGGGCTGCTACTTAAAGTCTTTTGGAAGTGGGTTGTACATTAAATGGCAGCTTGGTGTGAGACGCAGCAAATATTTGCTTTTTTAGTAAACAAGCAGGTGCAGCACCTGTCTGACGTGTGCTGGAACTTCTTCCTTTAGTAACAGCTGATCCCTTTATTGTCAGTTTTCTGGGAGTTGTGTATTTAGTAGTTAAACTCGATGAAATCAATTTAAAGGTTTTTAGATATATGTGTCATTGTTTTGCTGGTTTCTTTTCCATATTTTAATAACAACAATAACAATTTGTGTTTTCTCTCAAACAGTACAAAGCCTGGGCCTGAACCCTTTGGGCGAGGACACGGGGACAGCAGACGTCCTATCACGTGTCATCATCGAACGTACGGTTTGATGATATACTTCCATAGGCTATTCTTAACTGAAGATTCATGATGGTTCTGATAATTAATTTGACCTTACATTTGAATTCTCGTCACAGGGGAGGACACAAATATTCCCCCACTTTTTTTCCCCTGTGGCTCGATCAAAAGAGAAGTGTTGCCTACGGCTTTAAGGGAAAGTGGTAAGCATGTTTCCCTTTGTGCCTCAGAGTTTAAGCTCAAGGTGATAGAAGTCCCACAGGGGTTACACTAATTATAAAATAATAATTGTGCTACCTTTATCACTGCGCGGGATCTGTTTCTTTTGTTTCCAGGAGTGCCCCTGGAGACGCTGACTGTCTATCAAACCGCTGAACATCCAGATCTGGAGAAAAATCTGAAGAACTATTTCACCGAGCAGGTAAACTGCACTCCTACTGCAATTTTAGAGAGCACTATGTGAAATGTATACATGAATCATTAGTGTATCATCATTGTAGGGCACGCCAGCCAGCATCAGTTTCTTCAGTCCTTCAGGGGTGAAGTTTTGCCTAGAAGTGGTGCGGAGGCTGTCAGGTGAACAGCTGACTCAGATAAAGGTACAGCTGACTCATAATCACGCTGAATGTACACTTCTTAAATCAACTCCAGTACCTCTGACCGTCGCTTTAACTGGTCTTGTTTCCAGTTTGGAGCCATAGGACCGACTACAAGAGACGCTATGACAGCAGAAGGCCTGTGCGTCAGCTGTACAGCGGAGAAACCGACACCAGAACACTTGGCTGCAGCAATCGCTAAAGCTCTACAAGAACCAAACACAGGCTCCTAAATCCCTCCACTTGATCTTTGTTCTGTGTATATTCTGTATAGTTGATGCGCTTTGACATTTGCCTGTTTTATTTCAAGGATTATCTTGCCAGTTTTGCATGTAAAAAAAAAAAAAAAAAGCTGATTTGCACTTAAAAAGTGGCTTTCTGTGCCAGAAGAAAATGTGATTTAATATAATGCCGTTTATGTCAAGCCTGCCTAAGGAAGTTGAATGTTGTGCGTTTGTTTTTGAGAATAAACTTTGGCCAATGTGATGATGTGGAAGGTTTGGTTAGTGGTCATTTATTGCATATCACCTCAGTGTGTGTGTGTGTGTGTGTCCTTTTCAAAGCAAGTGTTGGCAGTCTATACTGTTATTGTCCACATGAAAGCATAGGTTTCACCCTCCTTCCACAGGTCAACAGCAGTCCATTTAAAACCAATGACGCATGTCTCACACATCCATGCAATTCGGTCAAAGTGAGCAGGGGGAGACAGTAAAGAGTTTGCTTGTTACACAAAGCTGGAGAAAGTGGGTCCACCTCCAGAGAGAGGTCGCACCTTTCAGATGGGCGTGGAAAAGCTCCGCGTCTGCCTTTTAAAAGCTGCACTGCGGCGTCTTCCTCGCCATCGTCTCACTTGTAATCGCAGGAGTGAACCAACGGCACGATGCTGACTTTTATCCAGCTGATCATTTTGCTCTTTTGGACGAGCATTAGCTCAGCTGATGCGGAGAAACTTTTCCATAAAAGGGATCATTCTGATGTGCAGAACCTTAACTCTCATCAAGCTGAGGTTATCACCGACAAGTACTCGGCAGAGGTAAAAACAATCTTATCATTTCTCCACTTTGTAACATTAAACGAGTGACCTTTTGGAGGCTTAAATGTAACCTTTTCTTGTTTTTTTTTAGTTATTTCTCTCTAGATATGGATTCATTAAACCGGTGAACTGGGAGGAGATCCAGTTTGAGGACGTGGACACCTCTTTCACTGAAGACTTCCTGGAGGAATTTCAAGATAAGATCCAAGAAGGGACCTCAGTGCATCGATCAAGGGATTCTCCTCGTGTTGGGGATCAAGGTGACAGCAACAGCTTCACAGAGAGCCAGGCGTTTGCTTCAGCTATTGAGGAGTTTCAGAGAGTGTCGGGTCTGCCGGTCACAGGCATGTTTGATGAGGCCACAAAGGAGGCGATGAACAAACCGAGGTGTGGAGTCCCTGACAAGGAGATCGAGCTGAACGCCCATGAAGTACTTGAGAACACTAGCGTTTCAGATATTGAAAACAGTGTCAGTGAGGCTGACAGTAATAACACAGCGAGTAATGCAACCAGCGACACTTTTTTTGGCACCGAAATCTCATTTGAAGATGACTTTTTCAATTTCAACGACACAGAAAGTGTTCTCACAAGCATCTCCAATGACACCAGCAGTAATTACACAAATGACTTAGTTGCTCACATTTCAAATGAAACCTCGCCCAATGATATCAGCATGCACAGTCAAACAACAAATATCAGCCTGAGCTCTCCCCAGAGCAAAGCAGTGCAGCGCAGAAAACGTGACCTTGCAGCTCTCGTATCCAAAAACAGACAAAGGAGAGATTCGAGCGAAACGGGCTACATGGCCTTTTCTAAGAAGGTGCTGAAGTGGAGGCTGATCGGAGAAGGCTACAGCAGTCAGCTGTCCATTGAAGACCAGAGGCATATCTTCAGACTGGCCTTCAGGATGTGGAGCGAGGTGTCTCCGCTGGACTTCGTGGAGGATACACGCTCCCCGCTAGAGGAGGTGGACATCCGGCTGGGCTTTGGCACAGGTACACTCATTGCATTATACTTTTTTTCATAAACAACGCACTTTTATTTATCCAATCTGATACATTGTGGAATCTGTGCTTCTACAGCCTGTAAGCAAAGGACGTGTGTTACCTTTAGAGTCTCTATCCTCGGAACAAGAATGTGTTGTCTTTACTACAGAATGGCTGGAGGATCTTTCACTTCATCATGTTGCATTGTGCTGCAGAGTTCTTAATTCAAATTAGCAGAAAAGGCAATGCATCTAATTCAAACCTTGTCCGTTCTAAACTCCACACAGGAAGACACCTGGGATGCAATCAAAGGTTTGACGGCACCGGTCAAGAGTTTGCCCACGCCTGGTTTCTGGGTGACATTCACTTTGATGATGATGAACATTTCACCGGTCCCGACGCTGGCAGTGGCATCAGCCTTCTCAAAGTAAGAATACTGCGGCACGACTGTAGGAATGATATGAATATGATAAAGGAGTAAATGATCAGAGTTTTGTCTACAGCTCATTCATTCTAACATCTTTTTTATATTGCTTTATATTAGGTGGCAGTTCATGAGATCGGCCATGTTTTGGGTCTCCCCCACATCTACAGACCCGGCTCTATAATGCAGCCCAGTTATCTGCCCCAGGAGTCCGGCTTTGAGGTGGACTGGATGGACAGGAAGGCCATACAGCACCTCTATGGTAACAGCACCATCTAGTGGATACACACACACACACACACACACACACACACACACACACACACACACACACACACACACACACACACACACACACACACACACACACACACACAGACCCAGATTGAGGGTTATTTACACACAAGAATGAACAGTCAACATGTATGTAAAAAGCTCTTTTGTGTGCTTCTAGGGGGCTGTAAAGGTCGATTCAACACAGTGTTCGACTGGATCAGGAAGGAGAAGACGCCCTATGGGGACGTGGTCATCCGCTTTAACACCTACTTCATGAGGGGCGGCTGGTACTGGCTGTATGAGAACAGGAATAACAGAACCCGGTTTGGAGATCCAGTCGCACTGCAGATTGGTTGGCGTGGAATTCCCATGGATGGAGTGGATGCATGTGTGCATGTGTGGTCCAGAAAAAGAGACGCTGTTTACTTCTTTAAAGGTAATCATAAAGCGAGTCTTCACGCCATGTAAGTACAGTATAGTGCACCTTTTTTTTTTCTTCTAACAGGCCCTCATGGTATGTTTGTCCAATGTTGTTTTGTGTACAGGTACTCAGTTTTGGAGATACGACAATGAGAATGACCAGGCGTTCAAACAAGACCCCGAAGGTCACCGTTATCCCAGGTTAATCTCTGAGGGTTTCCCTGGGGTGCTGAGTCCCGTTGACACGGCCTTTTATGACAGGAGGGACTCCCACATCTACTTCTTCAAAAACACTCTCGTAAGAATAGCATCCTTATCTTCTTTTTTTTTTTGTTACATGTTGGGCAGCTAAGTAAAATAAAGCCCAACGTTAAGTAAGCTTTGAAACAATAATACACTTTAATTATAAAATAAAACTATTATTTTAAATTAATCTGAAGAGGTGACAAATTAAAGGATTTAAATGGAGTCAGAGTAGGCAGCTGAAACTGAGCCATGGCCCCTACAGGCACCACAAATGGAGGTTTGGCCTTTGGGTCCTGGGCTAAAAGTGTATTTTTCTTATGTGATTTGTAATCTAACCAAGCTGGTTTGATATACAAAAAGGTACGTCTTAGAGAAAAGAAAGCACACCTTGATTCATTTGTTTCTCAGCTTTAAACCCCAAGCATACAAACCTCCTGTGATTTGTTTGTGTGTCGTAATTAAATTGATTTCTACAAAAGAGGCAAAACAATTATCTGTTCAAACAGGTGTACGCATTCGACGTGGCAGCCAACAGCTTGGCAAGAGGCTTCCCCAGAAACATCAGAGATGTTTTCCCTGCCGTGGAGAGCGGAGACCATCCAGATGGCAACATTGACGCTGCCTACTTCTCTTACACCCACAATGCCATCTTTCTACTCAAGGGCACACGCTTCTGGCAGGTGGTGGGAAGCCGAAATCGCTGGCGCCGGCCCTTTCTGCCACGGAATGGCCTGCTGCCACACAGGGAGGTGGATCAGCACTGGTTCGACATCTGCAACGTTCATCCCACGGCACTCAAACTGACACGCTGAGGGTGCTGAAGCAGAGACTTTTTGAACACTACTCGCGTGTACAGGTATGATCTACGCGCTCACCTGTTGTCATACATGTGCAGATGTCAGTTATCTACTTGTTTTTGTGTGTTGTGAATGTATGATTTAAGATCCTAAAGACAAAAACAGCTGAATTTTACTGTTGGCTTTTATTGAAATGAAGAGTTCTATTAATACATATGCTGTCTGTCTCATACTTTGAGGTGCCAAGAGCAGATTGGTGGGAAAGAAATCCTGAAGGACCTGTTATGTTTACAATATATAAAGCATTAGAGAGATTACATTTGTTTATAGAGTGTTTGTAAAGTCTTTATACCGACACCTCTTATGATTTATTGATGTATGTAAGAGGACTCTTAAATTGCACACCATGAAAAAGGGGATTCTTTCTGCAACAAGGTTGAATAAAGTACAGACTCACAATGCAAATACCATTTATAAAGGCATCTTTGACCTTTCCTGTTTTTATGTTGCATTTCCATTTTCCAATTTTGCACAAGTAGTAATGAAATAACTTTTCCCAGACTGTACAAATAATCTCTACGTTAGTTGTAGTTCAGTTCATTGCTCATTATGAAAGTACAAAAATACAAACCAGATTTTTCAGTACTGCAGGTTGTGGCTTGTTTCTCTTTAATTGACCATTTCATGTACAAACCTGTGTATCTAATAACCACGTTAAAAAAAAAAAGTGTCCAAATGAATATGCAATATAGATATGACGAAGCTTGACAATAATGGAGACAAATGTCTCCTAAATGCAAGGAATGAGGAACTGTACTTTTATGATTAATTTATGATTAATTCACCATTAGTTAATGATTAACTAATGGTTAATTAATTATTAATTAACCTTAAGTTAATGAGTCACTAATGGTTTTTTAAAGATTTATTCTTTAGCTTTTTTGCCTTTATTTGATTGGAAAATTGATTGTGAGTGGAGGAATGACTTGTGGAGCCACATGTCGGACATGAACCAGGGTCGCCCACTTGGTGGACTTTTGCCTCCTTGCATGGCTCGTAACCTAACCTCAAAGGCCCCCTACTAAAAATGACCTTTATAGTTTAGGTCCTCAATTGTTCCTCATTTGTACTATGCCAGATTTCTGGTAAATTACTTGTTAAAGGCATGTCATGTTTTGGTGTATATAAATGTTAATCCCAAGTCTTCTTGTTGGTTTTATAGCACATATGGACTCATTGTATACCTAACAACCAGTTCCCTCTTAACCACTGGCAGAAACTCAGACTAGTGGCATAATATGGAAAGCAATAGAAAACCTTAAAGAAAATCAGTTCCAGTCCTGATTCACTGGTTGCAGTACAATACTCCTTTAGCTGATTTGTAAGAAAACAGTATGAGCTTCATCCCAGAGGTGTTTTAAAAAATCTATTCTTCTTTTAAACCCTTCTCATTGTCAGAGGCCTAGTGGAAGACTTACACATAATTTAAAAAAAAAGAGCCTTTTAAAATTTAGATTGAAGCAAAATGATTGAAAAGAGGCCTCGGCTTATTACTTAACGCTGTTCCATTTCATAGAAATCATGTGAGCAGGGTGCAAAGAAACAGAGACATTGATTCTGTAATCAATACGTTACTTGAAGACTCTTATTAATTCGGCTCATCTTCGGAAGATTAAGCTCCTGGTGGGCCGCGGATAACTAGCGTGGCGCTCCGGGCGCTCTGTAGGCTATATTAATAAATTGAAGTAGAAATCAATTACAAGCAAAGGAACAAAATGTCACAGCAAGAGCGGCTATAGAGAGGGATGTCATGAGATGGTGGGTTTGCAGAAGGAGTTCCTGTTAGTGAAAAGAAGGTGTAGTTAATTACTTTTATAGAAGGGGCCATTTCCTATAAAGCCAGTGATTTGAACTTGTTAACATCCATCTTTTTCAATTTTAGAAGCATAACAAGTTGTTGCTTTGGTTTTGGTTTGGGTTCATCCTGGACTTAATACCGTAGCTCTCGTAATTCCTCTAAGCGTGAACAACCTTGGTAAAAACATTTAAGTCTTTAACAACAACTAAAGCTTATAAAATGGATTAATGGACTACTGTAAAAAAAATATATTCAAAAGAAAAGAAAATCTAACAGATCAATTAACTAATGCGAGCTGTGTTTGGCTGTGTCTACAAAGTGGGAAAGGTGATATCTCTTATCAAAACATTTTTCATCTAGCAATAAAAATATATATGTTTTCTTTCATGTTGATTTTTTAAATAAATGATTGAAGCTCCTGATTGAGACTTCATTGTGCCTGAAGGTCACCACAAGGCAGTCGTGCACTTACTTTGATAATTCTCTAGAATTTTATCCAATGAAGAGCGGGAGCTTCTTGGTTCAATTCATCTTTGTTATAAAAAGATGACAATATTTAAAGGCATATATTATGGAAGCCCTGAGTGCTTCTATCATAATGACTAATTAGTAGTTTTCTCTTGAGATATGTACTTATTTATTTCATTACCTTGAGATGACAATGCTGGTTCACTGGTGATAATGACTTAAAGGTCACAAATCTTGCAAAATACGCTTCACCATGTTATTCTAACATTAACATGTGTCCCTAGTCTGTCTTCAAACCCCCTAATTATGAGAAAAGTCAATCTACTCCGTCTTTTACCTGCTCCACTTTGTCAGAAAATGTGTGCTCAAACAGGCCGTTTGGGGATTTTCCCTTTGTGACATCACAAAGGGCAGTAACCCCTCCCCAAAGTGGGTGACACTCCCACAGCTAGGTGTTTGTTCTGCCCTCTGAGTCTGCCAATCAACAGGTCATGGTGCAAGAAAGCCTGAGCCACCCAAGCCCCTCTAGAGAGGTGTGGTCGACCACAGATCATGTGCATTTAAAGCTGCAGACTCAGAATCAGCCTGTTTTTCATTCACCCAGGGCTGGAATTGAACGGTTTATATGCTAAAATACGGGATCAGAGTGGATTTATAACAAGAAACTTCACAGACATGTTTTGAGGAGCTCTGACACGTATTTAAACTGGTTGAAAAGGAGGATAATATGTGACCTTTAAATTCAGTTATTTTCTTGAGATCTCGACTGATTTATCTCATTTACTCTGAGTATGAACGCTTGTTAAAGCTTATCATGGGGTAATTTGATAGTAATCCGGCAAAAAAAAACAACAACAGGCTAGTTGCTGTGATAGGCCAGAGCTTGACGACCACCAATGCTGCCATTGCCCACGCTGATGAATTAAGTTAAGCCTATGTACTGTATATCTATGTTGGTTTTGGGCTCTTGGAACCCTGTGGTTGTTATCACCAGATAATGATGATTAATCCAATGTAAAGGAAAACCCATCCTTGTTATCCAAGAAAAGTTAGCTTGTTATTACAGGGAAACCAGCTTGGTTATCTCAAGACAAAAAAGTCAAGTTCTTGAGTAAACCACTGGATACTGCTCCTTCTCAAAGGGAAATCAGACTAAAAATGTATGTATGCTTGTCTGCCTTGGGCTTCCATAATATACAACCTTAAAAGTTAGCTAATTAATGTTGTATAGTCCAAAAGAAGACACATTTGTTTGAGGCTAATATGCATTTTGTTTGTATCTGCAGAACCTTGCTGTGTACATTTGACATCTCAGCAGGCATAATTGATAGACTAATAATACATCTTCTACATAAGATCATGCACTTTGGTCGAAGCTTGTGATCTGTTTATTTATCCCATTATGAAGCCTCAAACACCCCCTGCACCCTGGAGTTCCGCTCATACGGAGAACTCTAATATACAAACTGTTATTCACACATGCGAGTCCCCGGCTGCAGCCTTGCACAGCTCAGTGATCTAACAGTGAACAGTGATCTATTGAAGCTCCCTCCTCTCTGCACCGCGGGCCTCTTTGGATGCGACTAGGATAAATGAGATCAGTCATGCTGATGGAAGAAGCAGCCCCAGAGAGATACACAAACCTGTGTCGTGGTGCAGGAATCCACATGGGAGGCACTTCAGAAACAGGAGAATGGGATTTAGACTCCTGCAGCACATTTTTATAGCAACAACAAAAAAAAAAATCTCCCAAACTCTGCCAAGACGTGAGGAAAAACTTGCACCGCTGTTGCCTCATTTCTTGTCTTGGAGCAGTGTGGGAAAACACAGCAATGAATCACTCCAATAGTGTCATTTCCACTGAGTGTCACACAGTAGTGTGTCTTTTCCGCGCGCCATGGGATTAACTCAATAAACTGCTGCTTTTGTAGATACAGTAATGTATTGTGTTTAAATGTATCTTCTGCAGGATTCAGCCTTTCATGGAGATCATTATTGTCATGCTACTGATCTCTAAGGTTGAATAAAAAGCCAGTTCAAGGATAAATCACTTTCAATATGCTTACAGAAAGAGAACATTTACTCAGTAAACACCTCCAGGGTTTATGTTGGAATAGAAAATGAGATTTCTCACTGGGAGTCACGCCTTTAAGGAAGGATGTGGAATAGTTTATTTTATAGTTGATTGTATGTTTCAGTTGAGTAATTGTACTTCTTTCATTGCACATGTCATAACATTTAGACAAGGCTGTGAAAATCACTTCAATGACTGTTTATCAGTAAGCATGGAGAGGACAGGACAACATTCCCCTTCCTGACTCTGAGGAACCTCAATACTCCCCCCCCCCCCCAAACCCCCACCCCTCACTCAATACAAACCAACAGATGAATATCAAATAATTTCAAATTGTTTTTGTCTGATTTCTTTTCATTGAAGGTGTCTGACACAGTTTTATTTTATGAAGCTCCTTCATGATTTAATAAAAAGGGCACATCTGACACAAAAGTTACAACAGAACAGACAAAAAGTAATCTAAACATGCACAACTGTATGAACAATATGATGAACAGACATGTAAACAATAGTCTATAAATTAAATATGTGGTATTTAAATGTCTAAAACTCCACCTCTTTCGGGGAAATTCATATGTTTAAGATGTCCAAACTTTCAGTCCCCAAGAAGAGCTTGATTACAAAAAATACCAGATCCTACATTTCCCTCAATGCAACATTAAATCATCTCTTTATTAGACCTTTTCTCCTTCAGTAAGATCACCAAAACTCCCTGACTTTATGTTTTAATTGGTTATAAGAATGTTTCTGCATGTGTTGTATAGGAGACAATATAACTGCATGCACAACAAATTTACATTTCTATGTACCAATAAAGAAACTTTGATCTTGAATATCATGCTGGCAATATTACTTAGCTTATTATCAATTTTGTTAGCAACAGAATACAATACGATGGTTTTCACACGGTGAGGAGTTCAGTATGATGATGAGAATTTATGGGGGAAATTGGTGGAAAGACCCTTTTATTTTCGTTACATTAACTATCTTTAGATTCTGCAACAAACCGGCAAAACAAATAGGACATTAAAATATTTAAAAACACAGCCTGGACGAATAGAATTACAAAGTGGAAAAAGTAGAGAAAGAAGACAAATCATGTGTTCTTTAAGTTCTCATGCTTCCATATGAATTCTCTCACATACTTACATGTCTATTGTCAAGACACTAAACGTCAACAAACGATGGATTAGAGTCTGCA